CTAGGTTTTCACTTTGAAGGCACCGACTATGTTTTCAAGTCGTTGCCGTTCGGCCTCGCTACAGCGCCCTTCCTGTTCACCCAGTTGATCAAGCAGTTGGCACGGAAATGGCGAGCGCAAGGCATTCGGGTCATACCCTATGTGGACGATATATTGTTCCTTTGCGACTCGGAACAGGACGCTCGTTTGAAAAGTGGTGCAGTCATTCGAGACCTCAAGGAGTCGGGGCTCGTCATCAACGCAAAAAAGTCGCACCTGATCGCGACTCAAAAATTGCACTTCCTCGGAATGGAGCTGGACACCGCATCCGGAAGGTTCACTATCGGCCAGGAGAGAAAGGCGCAACTCACACAAGCACTACATGTGCTGCTTCTCGCCTACGAGCGCAACCAGCGGGTATCAATCCGCCTCGTCGCCCGCGTCACCGGCATCCTTGCATCCATGGCGCTCGCCCTTGGTGCGACGGCGCGCTCTTTTAGCCATCAACTTTTGACACTCATTAATGAGGCGCCATCATGGAATGCACGAGTGACCCTGACCTCGGAATTTCGGGACGAGCTACAATTTTGGTCTGACCACTTCGACCATTTTAACGGGGCTCCTTTTCACATGCCCCACAGTCTGGACACGGTCATTCACGTCGACGCTAGCGCACACAGTTGGGGTGCAACCCTTTCATCCTTCCCCGGCGGAAGCTCGCAAGGAAGCAGCCCCATGCCAAAAGAACTTCTCTCCACATCGAGCACACGCCGAGAGCTCGAGGGAGTGCTATGGGCACTGCAGACGTTCAAGGACCAGATCCAAGGTCGCCGCGTACTCATGCGAGTAGACAACCAAGGCGTCTTCTTCATTCTGCGCAAAGGCGGCTCTCGCCAGCCTGAGCTCACTCTTCTGTGCAAGGCCATCGTCGCAATTTGCATGGCGCACGAAACCCGTCTGGCCATCGAATGGATTCCACGTGCTCTCAATACGCATGCAGATGCACTGTCCAAATTGGAAGACCACGACGACTACTCGCTCAAGCTCCCCTGGTTTCGATTATTGGAAAGGCGTTGGGGATCACACACCATCGACCTATTCGCCAATGCCAACAACGCACAGCTCCCGCGCTTCTGCGCTAAACATCCGCACCCACGTGCAACTGCCATAAATGCATTCTCGCTCGATTGGGGATTAGAGCACGGCTTCGCGTTCCCGCCGCCGAACCTCATCCCAGCGACCTTGCACCATGCCGCACGCACGAACGCCACGATGACACTAGTCGTTCCCGAATGGACAGGCGCTGCTTGGTGGCCCCTAATCAGACCTTCCCCACACACCTGGGCAATCGGCATCTCCTCCATCCTCTACCTTGCTAGTGGTAGTCAATGCTTGCATGTGGGCTCCCATGAACATGCATTCTCGGGTGCTGGTCTTCCAGTCAGTCGTATCTTAGCACTGAAAGTCAATTACAAACCTTGATGTACCATTCTTGTATCCTATGATTACAGATATGCTTCCAAGGTTGCATCACCAGCTACTTCTTATGACAGCCAAGACACGATCGGAATCAACAATCAACACATACGAACCGTACTGGGAGAAGTTTCGCAGCTTTTGCATGAAGGCCAAAGTGGATTTCTTGCCTGCCGCAGATCTCACGCTTGCACTCTACTTAGTGCACGCAATCAACCACCAGGCCACAGTCTCCAGCGTACAGCTCACATGCGCTGCAGTCAGCTTTGCCCATCGCATGACAGGGTCAGCCAACCCAGCGAACGGCCCGTTCACAACGCAAGTCCGAGAGTACGCCAAACGACACTGCCCTCGGCCTACACGAGTGAAAGAGCCCGTCTCCCTCCATCAAGTCCAGGCAATGGCGGGGCCTTTTCTCCAGTCACGCGAACCCGGCACCTACCAGAAGGGCCTCATCGTGCTGCTCATGTACTCGGCCTTCCTTCGCTTCTCGGACCTGGTGTCCATCCAGTGGGAGGACATCCAGTTCGAGGCTACGGCAATGTGGCTCCTAATTCCGCACTCCAAAACCGATCAGGAGAGCAAGGGCGTATGGGTCCCCGTTGCCGCGACTGACGAACCATTATGCCCCGTGCGGTGCACCAGGCACTTCATCAAGCTGGCACAGTACGGGCCAAAGACCAAAGGCCCGTTAATTCGTATTTTTCGACGCAACTTCCCGCCATCCTCGCAGGATACCGCCCCATCATACCCCACTGTCCGCACGTGGTGCTTGCAGGCATTCCAAGCAGCCGGCATCGACCCTACAAACCTCGGCACCCATTCATTCCGCAAAGGGGCAGCAACAGTTGCAGCGAGTACGGGCATCCCGGACCGCCTTTTCAAAAGACTGGGGCGATGGCGGAGCGAAACCGCGAAGGACCTTTATGTCACCATCTCCCACGATCACCTCCTTGCTGCGTCGCGGCGCCTTCACGATCAGGCGCACGTTCCGTCCCCCTCGCAGCATGAGCGTGCCCTGTCAGAATCCCAGCCACTAACCACTAGGATAAAAGGGCTTGTTTGTGTAGCGGGTGAGTGCGCCCATAACCCCCCAGGCCGCCGTGCCTGTAACCCTTCCCTAGGATCAATCGGGGATCACCAGTGGACCTCTGACACCCCCCCGCACTGGGATGCCCGAGGTGCACACACCGGGATTTGAACCCGAGACCTTCGCTCTGATACCATGTCAAGATAGGTAGTAGAAAGTTTAGAGGCAGAAAGAGGAGTTGCACTAGCAAGCAGTTGAGTACATATAGGAACCCTAGATTGGGCTGTACTCGCTATAGAGTACCCCACTGCAGGCTAGACAAATACAACATTCTGACAGTTTTGGAGCTCAAAGAAGTGATTTGGAATTGCTCTGTTTTTAGCTCCTCCCAAAAATACTCGAATTGGTCTCCACACGGGCCGAACCCACGTCATCACGAACGTATTTGAAAGCCTCCTCCCATTGGCCACAAACACCACTTGGTGTTCACACGACAGCGCAGGGCACCGTTTGATGGCCCAGCGCGCAGTGTTGCCTCGGCCTTCACACCCCATGCACGCTTCGTGCGGGCTGAAATATGACCATTTTCAATCGCATTTTTGTAAAATCCGCACTTCCCTAGGATGTGGGGGGGTCTTATAATGTTAGGAGCCATTTAGGGGGGTATAACTCAGATGTACTCGAATAGAGTACCCCCCTCCGTATTATAGACCCGGGGGTCTACAACTGGAGGGGGTCCTACTAGATAACTCTACCGTCATCGCCCGGATATAAGACATATATGTCTTATCTCGTACACGGGCAAAAATGCTTGAGTTATCTTGTAAACGGGATGCTTTAGGGTGTCTTATAAATCTTATAAATGGAAACTTTTTAAACTACTTAGAAATATTTTCCGTACTTCTTGAAAAAGAGTTCCTCATAATGAGTGTGGATGTTGCGAAGGTGCCACTTCGGCAACCACTGCCCGGGACGCCACGTCATGGAGAACACCTGCAGAGGCAAATTTGGTAGGTCCTGGGTCAGCGCGTGGAGAAATTCGCGCTTCGCAAGGGTAAAAATGTACGCGTTATTTCAACTTTCGCTATAATATATTGAAGTTTCGATTATAAGACATATATGTCTTATCTCGTACACACAAATAGGTGTCTTATAATGAGGCTAGCCTGTTTATAAGAGACACCCGTATAGTAGACAACCCCTGTCTACTATTCAACACTGTCTTATATCCGGGCGTTTACGGTACTCTGGGCTTAGATCACAATTACGGTACAGTAGCATCTGTTTTGTGGAGGTTAACCATGCGTCGTTGTGCAACTTGGTTATGTACTTGCGAAACCTGCTCTCAGTAACATACACTACGCAAACTGATTTAGAGATTATGCATCATGGCTCAAATTACAAGTACCGTACGACAATGGATCACGCCCAAACAGCAATAGCAAAGGTAGTGGCACGGCACACAGCTTGTAAGGGCAGTCACGACTCATGAGGTTCTGCGGGTACGAGGAGAGTGCACGAGCAAGACGGAGAGGTGAAGGTGCAAGCAATGCCGGAGGAAGAGTACGAGAGAGAAAGTGAGGGGATCGCAAAGAAAACATACTTGGGAAGTGATGAAGAATGACGAGGCCTCAATCATGACGGTGCATGGATAATGATGGTGCATGGATGATGATGGTGCATGGATGATGATGGTGCATGGATGATGATGGTGCATGGATGATGATGGTGCATGGATGATGATGGTGCATGGATGATGATGGTGCATGGATGATGATGGTGCATGGATGATGATGGTGCATGGATGATGATGGTGCATGGATGGTGATGATGCATGGATGATGATGGTGCATGGATGATGATGGTGCATGGATGATGATGGTGTAGGGTTGAGCAAAAATCCGAACGCCTGTTCGGTTCGCCTCGAACATGTTCGAGGCGAACCGAACAGGCCTTTTTTTTTGCCTAAATTGTTCGGCCCGAACATGTTCGGTGTTCGGCCAAACATGTTCGGTGTTCGCCTCAGTCAAGAAAGCCCCCAAAGTCGAACACGAACTTGTTCGTGTTCGACTCGGGGGCTACGCGAACACCAAGGTGTTCGCGTCAATTTCGGCCGCAACCAATTTTAGGTCGCGGCCGATCTGAGTTTGGGCTATTTTTGCTAGCTCAAACTCAATCGTGTTTCTTTAGCTTAGCCACCCTACTACCACACACCCCCACCCCACCACCCTTGCATTCTTGGAGTTGTGGCCTTAGCTCTCCGTCACAACTAATCCTCCGAGAGATCTAAACTAGGGTTTCGTTGGTAGAGTCTACGTAGTCTAGGCTAGGTTTCAAGTTGTTCTTGTGGCAAGATCTTCAAGCAACACGTGGTCTAATCTGAGCCGTACGGTACAAATCACTCAATCTAAGAAGGCCACACGAAGTTCAGTACGTTCGCGTCCGTGCTACTACCCGCCAAAACCGCCCGTTGCCTCAGCCTGGGGTTTAGGGTTTTTGAGCCTAGGGCGGAGATATGGCTTCTGGACGAGGTGGAGCTGTAGCACGAGGTCCAGGTGGCGCTGGTAGCAGCGTACCAGGATCTCCACCACGTCCTATGGAGGGGCGGGTAGGGGATGGCCCTGGAGGAGCCGGCGCATGCTTTGTGGGAGGGTTGCTTTCCTTGGCGACGCCGACATCACGTCACACTTTCCGCTACGACGGCCCTCGACCCCCTGCTAAGGGGAAGACACAGCCGGAGAGTGGCAGTGGGGAGGAGGATGAGGAGGAGGAGGAGGAGGAGGGTAATGGCGATGACGATGAGGACGATGAGGGGAGTGGGGATGACAGTGAGGCAGGGTGGGACCCAGAGACGGATGGCGGTGGGGAGGGGGGAGAGGATGATGAAGACCACGAGATGGATGGGTTGGAGCCAGAGGGGCGGGAAGAGGAGGTGGGAGAGGGTGGTGGAGAGGCGGCAACGGAGGCGGGCTCACACCATGGGCGTGAAGGGGGTGGGAGCGTGGGGGTTGCTGTGGGGAAGAAGGCCGCGACCATTAGGCCGCCAAGGCAGGGGAAGAGGGTGAACAAGTTGAGGGAGCGGGCGTACACCGCTACGTTCACAGGGGAGCCGTTGGGTGAGGGCGTGATCGCACCGGAGTTCCTAGACGAGGATGGAGAGTCAGAAAGTAGCAAGGGGACGGGTAGCAGGAAACCGGGGTGGCAGGTTATGATGTTCGGACCAAAGGATGCAGACGAGAAGCGTCAGTGCAAGATTTGCACCGACAAGATCTCGTGGAAGCAGTCCACAACCACTCCCGGCGAGCGGCACTTCGCGAGCCACCATACAGCGCATATGCTTGTGTGGCATCACCGTTACCACACCCCGTCCATTCAGTTGCCAGGCGAGACGTTTCCACGCGGGGGTTACAAAGGTGTTCCAGATGGCTACGTCGAAGCTTACCCGCATGCCAAAACGTGGCCTCATCTCGCGACCAAGACACCGCAGGCAGCAGTTGGAGATAAGAAGGGGGCAGGATTGAGCGGTTTATGACAACGAAGCTGTCACAAGGGGAGCTCCGACGGGCGATCGCCAAGCTAGTGGTCACCTGCGACCTCCCCTTCCGCATCGTGGAGGCCGAGGCTGTAAGTGCCCTGTCCCATGGGGTGTTGTGGGAGGGTTAGGGAAAGGGTGAAAGTTTGCTTTGCTATTCCATTTATTGCGCTCGATTGTTATATTGTGCCTAGGTCTCCCGCCCATCACTTAATGCTTGACGCCCCTTTCTCCCCTCCCCTTGTCTCCACCCCCCCTTCCAGTTTCGGGAGCTCCTGATCCTGCTAAATCACAACTGCGCGCAGAAGAACTTCATCCCCTCCCGTTGGACGGTCTCCCGCGACACCGTTGTCTTTGCGGCGGCCGCTCTCCAGTCCGCCATCGCGGAGATGCTGGCGAAGGAGGGGGAGCTGGGGTGCAAGGTGTCGATTACCATAGACATATGGACGGCACCCAACAACAGAGCATGGCTGGTGGTGACCGGCCACTGGATAGACGAGGCCTTCCAGCTGCGCACGATGGTGCTCGAGTTCCGTGAGATGCTCGGGCGGCATGGAGGCAAGGAGATTGCGAAGGTGGTTGAGGAGACAGTGGTGCAGTGGAAGTTGGAGGGGCGTTGTCTTGGGTTGACGTCAGACAACGCCTCCAGCAACATTGCTGCCTTCAGGCGGCTGTCGGAGGAGGGTGGTGGGAGGTGCTTCTTCACCGAGCGCATGCACTTCCGGTGAGTGTGTGTGCGAGAGAGCGTGTGGGCTGCGGGCGTGCCTAGTTGTGACTTTTTTTGTGTGTCCCTAAACGTATGTCCTCATGGCTTGCTTTGACCCGACCCTCTCACCCTTCCCCTTTTGTCTGTCTTTCATGCTGTTTTGCGTGTGCAGCTGCCTGGCACATGTGATCAACCTTGCCGTGAAGGCAGCTCTCGCAGTGGCCGCCATCCGCAAGCTGCTGAAGATCCTGAGGGAGATGGCGTCGTGGGTGGGCTTCTCGCCGCAGCGCTCAGGGAAGTTCCTGGGCCTGCAACGGACCTTGAACGCGCAGGCCAACCCCGCCAAACCGAAGCCGGCACTGAAGCTGGTGCAGGACTCTCCCACGCGCTGGGGCTCGACACACGACATGGTCGAGCGAGCCGGGGTTCTGCAGGAACCTATCAACGTCTTCTTTGCCCAGACAGCGGTGTGTGTGTGTGACGGGTTCTCGCGACCGGGGTTGTGTGTGTGCGGGGGATACGTGTGCTGGCAATCCTTACCACCTAGACAAAGCACTGACAACACTGTGTGTGGTCATGTTTGTTGTGCGTTTTACAACTACACGCCACCCTCTCTAACCTAAGTTCCCTTGTGTCAACCATGCCTGTCCAAACCCACAAACCTACAGGGCTTGTCGGCGACTGACAAGAAGAAGGTCGAGAGCTTGCGCCTGACAGACGCAGATTGGGACACCCTGCATGCTGTCAAGGCACTCCTCAGTCCATTCGCCAGAGTCTCGAAGGCAGCGGAGGGGGCGGCGTACCCTACAGTGTCGATGGTGTTGCCGTACTACAACGGCCTGATCGACGCTTTGGAGGCGCGCCTTGCGAAGGGGCCATCGGCTGCGCTGAAGCCGATGATCGAGGCGGCGCTGGGGGTCCTGAAGAAGTACGCGTACATGTCCTCCAACGAGCTGTGGATCGCCACCTTCTTGGATCCGTCCATGAAGGCGGCGTGGTTTGATGACGAGCACTGGGAGTCGCAGCATCCCGAGACCGAGCCGAGGGTGAGGCCGCGTCCCACTTCTAGCGAGGTGGTCCAGCTGGTACGCGACCGCGTGGCCGAGTACCAGGCCCGGGCTGCAGCGCTTGCCCCCCGGGCGCCCCCACTTGCCACCGTGACGGAGGAGGAGGAGGGTGACGCAGCGGATGACGACGAGGATGCGCAGTACATCCCTAGTCGCCGTCGCCTTGCAGCGCGTCTCTCAACGAGCCAGCAGGCGGAGAGGGGTGGGATGCTACAGGATGACGAGGTTAGCAGGTACCTGTCGGAGCGGGTGCGGGAGGACGTGACGGCTCTGGAGTACTGGCGCACCGCCACCAACATGCAGACGCTCAGGCGCATGGCCCGAGACTATCTCGCGATCCCTGCCACGTCCGCATCGAGCGAGCGGGTGTTCTCCCTTGGCCGCAACGTCATTTCCTAGAAGCGGCACCGCCTGGCCTCCCAGAGAACGCGAGCTATCATGGTTCTCCGATCCTGGTACACCTCACACCCCGGCCAGAGGATAGGCGAGGGCCGCCGACAGAGGGGCGTCGCACCGCCAGAGATTGCCATTGAGGGCGAGGGGGCGGAGGACGATGACGAGGAGGAGGAGGAGGAGGAGGAGGAGGAGGAGGGGGAGGGTGAGGGGGATGCTGATGACACAGCGACTGGGGTGGAGCCTGCTGTTGGTAGTAGCAGTGGCGCGGCGTTAGCGTAGGGTTTTTATACATTATATAACTCTTTTTAGACAATGGGATGTTGTTTGTAGCACTGGGTCGGTTGCAGGAACACTGGGGCACCATGCGAACCCTTTGTTTATCTCTCTGGCCCGAAAAAAACCCTTTCTGACAGGTGTGATTCTAGTGAATGTGATCAAAGGCGAACTCGAACATGTTCGGGTCGAACATGTTCGAGTTCGCCTCCGTGCTCAAAATGTTCGCCCCTTGGGCCGAACATCTAACACCATAGGCGGCCTAAATCGTTCGCCGAACCGAACAGTGTTCGGTTCGGCTGTTCGAGCTGTTCGACCAGGGACGAACTCGAACCTGTTCGAGTTCGGCCTTTGCTCAACCCTATGATGGTGCATGGATGATGATGGTGCATGGATGATGATGGTGCATGGATGATGATGGTGCATGGATGATGATGGTGCATGGATGATGATGGTGCATGGATGATGATGGTGCATGGATGATGATGGTGCATGGATGATGATGGTGCATGGATGATGATGGTGCATGGAAGGTGATGGTGCATGGAAGGTGATGGTGCATGGATGATGATGGTGCATGGATGATGATGGTGCATGGATGATGATGGTGCATGGATGATGATGGTGCATGGATGATGATGGTGCATGGACGAGGGGCGTGGATGAGGAAGGGGCACGACTGAGGATGGGAGGGACATGGATGTCTTCATTCTTAGCTCAGCCACATCCTTCCATTCTTAGCTCAGCCACATCTTTCCCCAAAAGCATAAGCCAACAAGGCCAGTCTTCACTCCACTCATTCACCTCACCTCACTCGCTTTACCTCACCTCATCTCACTCGCTTCACCTCACCTCATCTCACCTCATCTCCTCTCACCTTACCTCAAATCATCCCATCTCACCTCACCTCAAACCATCTCATCTCACCTCACCTCAAATCACCTCATCTCATCTCTCTCATCTGCGTCCACCCTTTAATCTACTCGGAACACCAGTGAATCGCAAGCCAAGTGACCTGGGACAAGTCGAAGAACGAATCATCCTTGCAACTCCTTCCTGCATTGGCCTGCTCAACTCAAACTATCTTCCCCTCTTCCTGCACTCCCTGGCTCATTCCGTCCTCCTATTCCTTCCGTCTCCGACCGACAGTGCAATCCCACCCACAGCCGCCCCACTGCCACTCACAGCCCGCAGCCACCGTGGCACCCCTCATGCCCCCATCCCCACTCCCTGCACCAATCTCAACCGACGCAAATCCCAACCCCACTTGCCCTGCCCTGCCGTCCGCTGCCTCATCGATGCTCAAACCCTCTCTTCTACTCAGCCGTTGTCTGTTTCACTCACCATGCCGACTCCACTCAGCCTATAACTATTCCACTCACCCTATAACTATTCCACTCACCTCGTGCTTCTTCCACTCACTTTCGGTTCCCACTCACCCTCTGTTTCCACTCGGCCTCTATTCCCCTCGCATACGGTATTCCCCTCATCCCATGTCGCCTCGTCTCCCCGCGCCTCCCTGCCCCTCCCCTGGCCGCGCCTCACCAGCAGCGGGGGTGCGCCTCACCTGCAGCGGGGGTGCGCCTCACCTGCAGCGGGGGTGCGCGCGTCACGCCTTGAGGCGGAAGGTGGTGGAGCGGATGACGTCATCGTCGCGGTTGAGGCGCTGCTGCAGATTCACCTGCGCTTCGGAGCGCGCGGCGAAGATAAACAGGAAAAAGATGCCGTCCAGGTAGCGGCTCATCACGCCGCCCATGTTCTTTGTCTTTATGCTATACGCCAACGGCTGCATGCCGCGGTTGAAGATCTCCACGTCCAGTGCGCCGCCCGCCACGAGAAACTGCACGTGCGGAACGTGGGGAGGGGGAGGGAGGAGGCGGAGCGGAAGGGGGGAAGGATGCATGAGAGACGTGTGCTTGAGGGAGTGCCGATGCGGGTAGTGCGCAGAAGGGAAGTGCGCATGAGGGGAGTGCACATGAGGTCAGTGCACAGGGTGCGCATACACGGGGAAGAGTGAGCGGGAAGACAGGGGAAGATTGCGAGAGCGAAGGGAGAGAAGCAAGAAACACGACACAGTCGGGGTTCGTACGAGCGAATGACCGACAGAGGGCCGGGACATGAAAGGCTAACACGGGCAGCGCAATGCGCGCACGGTCGCGCGACGGCGACGCACCTCGTCAAATCGTTCCGTCCCTGCGACGCTACTCGTCGCATCGTTCCGTCCCTGCGACGCACCTCGTCGCATCGTTCCGTCCCTGCGACGCACCTCGTCGCATAGTTCAATCCCTGCGACGCACCTCGTCGCATCGTCCAATCCCTGAGACGCACGTCATCGCATCTTTCCGTCCCTGCGACGCACCTCTTCGTATCGCTCGGTGAGCGCGACGCGTTCGTCCTCCGTGAGGTCGGGTCGCAGCACCACCATCGCCTCGTACCGATGCACGCCCGCCGGGTACGACTGCCGCGCCGCGCCCTCCTCCTCCGCCGTCAGCGAATCAGCCATTGCCACGTTCCGCGGCGCTACCACGGCACCGCGCTTCGTCTGCGCGGCGAGTGTGGCGGTTTGACGTACGCGCAGCGGCACGAGTGCGGCGCGCCTTAAGGAGTGTGCGACGGGCTGAGGCAGGCCGGCGGCCGGCACGGCTGCCGCCACCACGGGAACGTGCATGGAAAGAGTACCCGCCATTTCAGGGATGGGTGGTGGTGAGGCGCTACGCGAAAGGAGAATAGTTTGATGGTGGTCGCGAGAGAACAGGTGGAGGAATGATGAGAGGGAGGGAATAAGGGAGAGGGGATAGCGGAGGGTGCGCGCAGGGGGGCAGTGCACGGGGGGAAAGGGGGAGGGAAGGTGCGTAGATAAAGGGGGAGCCGCGCGGTGGGGGACGCCCTTGACAATACCGCCGCTCCTAATAGGTGGGGGGGAAGCTGCGCTGTACAAAGACTCGGTAACGCAGCTACAACTGCGAATGTCACTGCATTTTTAACTTGTTTCATCCCAGAAAAACAGGGACTGTCCCCAAAAAAAAAGTTTGCCCTTTTGAATTCCTGAAGACGAATACTACGTATCAATTTCCAACAATTTGCCACAAGCTGGAAATAAACGATTCCTTATGCGTTCCTATTGACATTGTTGAGGGTAAGCTTGCTGACGAAGCTGCACTAACAGAAGAAACTCCCTCTGTCTCTACACACATTAGTTGGCACTGCTATGGTACTGGATTGTATGTGGAAGGAGCTTGTGGTTGTGCGGCACTCGCTGCTGCTGTCACTGCTGGGTTGGCGCTGCCGCTGCTGCTCCCACAGATGGCACTCCTGCTGCTGGTAATGTAGAGCCTGTACTTACTGCTGTGCCTGCTGCTGGCGATGGATTCGCGGGGCGTGCCTGGGAGTCACCTGATACTTCTGCTGAGCCCACCACTGGCACCGTTGCGTGTGCTCCTGTGATCGGTGCTGCTATTGCTGCTGTGGTTGGTGCTGCTGTGGTTGGTGCTGCTGTGACTGGTGCTGCTGTGGTTGGTGCTGCTGTGGTTGGTGCTGCTGTGGTTGGTGCTGCTGTGGTTGGTGCTGCTGTGGTCGGTGCTGCTGTGATTGGTGCTGCTGTGATTGGTGCTGCTGTGATTGGTGCTCCTGTGGTTGGTGCTGCTGTGATTGGTGCTCCTGTGGTTGGTGCTGCTGTGATTGGTGCTCCTGTGGTTGGTGCTGCTGTGACTGGTGCCGTTGTGGTTGGTGCTGCTGTGACTGGTGCCGTTGTGGTTGGTGCTGCTGTGACTGGTGCCGTTGTGGTTGGTGCTGCTGTGGCCGGTGCCGTTCTGGTTGGTGCTGCTGTGGCCGGTGCCGTTGTGGTTGGTGCTGCTGTGGCCGGTGCCGTTGTGGTTGGTGCTCCGATGCCCGATGAAGCTGCATGTGGCTGCAGTGAGTGTGGCTGCTGTGGGTGTGTGTGCTGTGGGTGTGTGTGCTGCGAGTGCAATTGCGTGCCATTCTGCAGCACCACATGTCGTGTGTGTGCTGCTACTCCTCCTGCCGTCTCGCCCCCTCCAACTCCTACTGCTTTAGCACTTTCCACACCAGGCACACCTGCCGTGCCTGCTCCTGCCACACCTGCGCAGCCAGCAGCAACACCACCACCAGCAGGAATAGCAGCAGCACCACCTGTAGCAGCAGGATTCACAGCACTCGCGCCAGGACTAGCAGCAGTAGTGGCAACAGAACTGGCAGCAGCACTGGCAGCAGTAGCAGCAGGACGAGCAGGAATTGAAGCAGTGGCAGCAAGGGCTGTGTGTGGCAGTGCAGGTGCACGTGACACCGTGGGGTGCATGGAGGTCTGCCCACTTGCTGCATGAACCATGTCTGCCACTGATGCCCCTCCCATGCCTTGCCTCACCACGCCTTGCCTTGAGACTGTTTGGCTTGCCAGTGCTTGGCTCGGTACTGCTCGGCTTGGCATTGCTTGGCTCGGTACTGCTTGCCTCGGTACTGCTTGCCTCGGTACTGCTTGGCTCGGTACTGCTTGGCTCGGTACTGCTTGGCTCGGTACTGCTTGGCTCGGTACTGCTTGGCTCGGTACTGCTCGGCTCGGTATTGCTTGGCTGAGTACTGCTTGGCTCGGTACTGCTCGGCTCGGTATTGCTTGGCTCGGCAGTGCTTGGCTCTGTACTGCTTGGCTCTGCACTGTTTGGCTCGGCAAGACTTGCTGTGGCCTTGCCTGTGCAGGAGTAAATCCTCTTCCTGCACCTGCTGCTCTGTGTAACACTGCTTTCACCGCACCTGCTGTTGTGTGTGTTGCTGATCCCGCTTGTGTCGCTGCTGCTGCTGCTGCTGCTGGTGCTGCTGCTGCTGCTGCTGCTGCTGCTGCTGCTGTTGCAGCTGCCACTGGTGCCGGGCCCCCTGTGCGCACCACTCCTGTGACTGGCGCGCCCCTGCCTCTGCCCACCCCTCCTGCACTCGCCACATGACTGCTGCTTCCACGGCCCAGGGGCGACTGGGAGGAGGCGACAGCAGGCAGCTGGGAGGAGGGGACAGCAGAGGCCACTGGCACAGTTCGGTTGCCAGTGGCCGGAGCAGCAGTGGCAGGCACGGCAGCAGTGGCCGGAGCAGCAGTGGCAGGCACAGCAGCAGTGGCCGGGGCAGCAGTAGCAGGCACGGCAGCAGTGGCCGGGGCAGCAGTAGCAGGCACGGCAGCAGTGGCCGGGGCAGCAGTGGCAGGCAGGCAGCAGGTGGCAGTGGCAGGCACGGCGGGGGTACTGGAAGGCACAGCGGTAACGGGAGGTGGGGGCAAAGACGAGGGCGGAGGGGCGGAGGAGGCAGGGAGTGTGGCAGGAGCATGGGCGGGGGCGGAATGACGCACGGCACCCACCGCCTGTGCTGTGTGGAGTGATGGAGGGGTAGGGAGAGATGGGGGAGCGGGGAGAGAGGGGGGAGTGGGCAGGGACGAGAGACCTGGCAAGGATTGACTTGGAGCAGCAGGGAGGGTGGCCGGCACAAGAGGTGACGTGGCAGGCACAGCACGTGGGTGTGGTACAGATGGAGACACAGATGGAGCAAAGCCGCTGGCAGGCTGAGAATGCCTGCTCCCATGGGGGTGCTGTTGCTGCTGCTGCGGCTGCTGCTGGTGTGGCTGTTGTTGTTGCCTCTGCTGCTGCTGTTGCTGCTGCTGCTGCTGCTTCTGCTGCTGCTGGTGCTGCTGCTGTTGCTGCTGCTGTTGTTGTTGCTGCTGCTGCTGTTGCTGCTGCAGCTGCCGTTGTTGCTGCTGCTGTTGTCCCTGCTGCTGCTGCTGCTGCTGCTGCTGCTGCTGCTGCTGCTGCTGCTGCTGCTGCTGCTGCTGCTGCTGCTGTGGTCGCATGGCTGGCCCTCGGTGCTGCTGCTGCACCCGAGTGTGACATCTGACATTGCTGGGGCGAAAAAGGCAGACACACATAGCCAGAGGGAGAAAATTAGTGGTGGTGGGTAATGATTCAAAAAAGAGGTGCATGGTGCCCAAGGACCAAAGAGTATCGATATCTGGTGTGAGAATCACATGACATACAACACACCAGTGTTAACAGTAAACCACGGCACTATGACAGGGAAAACCATGGACTCATATCATACCTGAGAGGCGCTGCCGCTTTGCTGCCCGGCGATTCAATCCCTGCCACCTCCGCACCCCTTCCCCTGCCCCCCTGCACATTCCCACCACCCCCCCGACCTGCACTGCCACCGGCGATGCGACCCCCTGCGCCCCCCACGGACGCTGCCAGTCCCTTGGCCCCGCCTGCAGCAGCAGGTGCCCTTGGGGGGGCATGTGACGGGGTGGTTGCGGTGAGGGGCGCGTGGGGTGTGGACGAATGGGGAAGAGCAGAGGCATGTGGGTGCACATGTGCAGGGGAGTTGGGGAATGGCAGAGCTGACTGCTGCATGTGGGCGTGCATGTGAGGGTGGGCGTGAGGATGGGTGCGCGCATGGGAGTATGTATGGCTGTATGTGTGTGCATGGGGATGTGGGTGGGTGTGTGGGGGCACATAGGCATGAGGCACCCCATGGGGAGACGAGCGGCCATGGCCATGCATGGAGGCTTGTGTCATGCTCCCACCATGACTGTGTGCCATGCCCGTCTGGTTACCATGTGCCATGCCCGTCTGGTTACCATGTGCCATGCCCGTCTGGTTACCATGTGCCACGGCCGTCTGGTTTCCATGTGCTACGGCCGTCTGGTTACCATGTGCCATGGCCATCTGGTTACCATGTCCCACGGCCGTCTGATTACCAATTCCCATGGCCGTCTGGTTACCATACGGAGCAGCGGCAATGGGAGCGGCTGCAGCAGATGCAGTGTGGAGAGTGGAAGACGCATGGAGGGCGGAGGCGGAGGCAGCAGGTGGCAGCGGGGCGGAGGGAGAAGCAGAGTGTGCAGTGGCAGTGCCTGTGCGTGCAGGAGTCAATGCAGCAGGTGCGGATGAGGGTATGGCAGAAGAAGCAGTGGCAACAGGAGAGACTTGCATGGGGGCGGGGGAGGCTTGGGGGATGGGTCCCGTGACAGGAGGAGGGGTGGTGGTGGAGAGTGAGGGCGAGGAGGCAATGGGCATGGAGTGGGGGAGTGGGAGAGTGGGAGGGGGAGTGGGTCTCCTGGGGAGGGGAGGGGTGTGGGGAGAAGGTGAAGGGGATTGGAAGGCGGGGTGAGGGAGCGTAGGGGAGAAGGAGGGGAAGTGTGGCAATGATGGGAGGGAAGTGTGAGAGGAGAGCGAGTGAGGGGCCATGTGGGCCTGGGATTGGGTTGATGCTGAGACGTGGTTCCCAGATGCTGCTGTTGCCACTGCTGCACCGCTCGCCCCCTCTGCAGCACCACTGCCAGCCCCTGCTGCTGCTGCTGCTGCCCCTGCTGCTGTCGCAGTGGTGGTGACAGCTGCTGGCAGTGTGGCTCCCAAGGCGGCATGTGTGGCTCCCAAGGCGGCATGTGTGGCAGCAGCAGCAGTAGTGGGAGCGAGCGTGGGTGCGTCGACTGGTGGGAGCGGGGGGCTGCTGCTGAGATCCAAGGGGCTGTGGCACCACACAGGGAGCACAAGGGGTGGGCGCAGGAAAGGCGAAAGGGAGGTTGTTTTAAACGGCGGTGATGGGGGTATGATGGAGGGAATGGGTAGGAGGAAGTGGAGAGGGGGGCATGGGGAAGGGAGTGGGGAGTGGTAAGGGGGATGGTAGCAGGAGGAGAGAGTGGAGTGGAGTGACAGTGGCAGGAGAATATGGTAACTATCAGTGGCTATAGATGGGAGCACAGGAAAGTGCGCTACCATTTGAACGTACCTGAGAGGCACAGGAGGGTGGGTGACGTGTCACACACACCTGGGCGGCATGGGAGCGGAGGGCGAGGAGGCAGCGACGTTGGAGAGGACGAGGAGGTGCGAGGCGTGTGGCTGCACCTGCTGCTTCAACTCCTGTGCCTCCAACTGCTCCCCCACGCATGTGCATGCACATGCCAACACAGACACACACGCACGCGCGCGCCCGCAACACACACACATGGACACCCCGGCACAGACATGAAAATGACACAGAGTGAGTGTACAATCACAGTCAGCATGCACTAAAAACGCTTTCTAAAGTGCAGCTTGCCCAACTTTCTATGGTTGACTCACGGCCAGCATACGAGCATGGTGTTTGGAGAAAATGGTTAGCACCGCGTGGCGATGCTCCCTCAGCACGTCCTCCTCGCCCCCCACCCACTGTCCCCCGCCACGTCCCGCCTCCTGCCACCCCACGCTCCACCCACACAGCGCAACAGAGGGCGGGGTGACTTGACACTTCACAGAATGCTGCAGTACGCTCTGAAATTCAGGGTGGCACGAGAGGGGGGCTGAAAAGTGCAATGAGCGAGCGGTGCAGGAGAAGGGGAAAGGGCGGGATGGGAAGGGTGGAGTTGCGACCGACCTTGGAGGGCGTGGAGGAGGGTATGGGAGGCGAGGAGAGGAGGGCGGTGTGCCGGCGCTCACACTGACTGGGACTGCGATACACGCCCTGGTGATGGGTGCATGACCACACATGATGGCAGCAGATAGTGCACACAGAACAGCATAAGAGTCACAGTGCTGTGTTCCCACAGTCGTGTATGATAAAAGAAACAAAACAAAAACAGCAACGCCTAGGCCAGGACGAGCCCGCATGCAGAGGGAAGGCTCACAGTGAGGTGCGTGATGGAGAGGGCGGGCTCACAGTGAGGTGTGTGATGGAGAGCAGCACATCTGTGACCAGGCGCCAGTTGGTGCCCAGGTCGCTCACCACTGCCACCAGCACCTGACAGCGGGGCACACAAGGGGAGGAGAGAGGTGTTGCGATTAAGAAACTATGGGCGAGCGGTGCGTGGGGTGGAGCGAGGGAGGATAACAGTTGCGTGTGACGACATGGCCATGGCATGCACGCACCTGCTCCTCCATGGGAGACCATGGCAGGGCGTCATCAGCTCCATCAGCATCATCAGCCGCGTCGCTGCCAGGTGCGCGTGCAGCAGCGAGGTCAGTGCTGCCTGGGGACCCGCCCAGCACGTCCCCGTGGGCGGGCGGCAGAGGCAAAGCGCCTGCTGCCTCTGCTTGCAAGGGTGTGGCGGCGAGCGGCAGGGCATGCGCTCCTGGAGGTGAGGGCAGATGGTGGGGGGACTGGAGAGAGGGAGGGGCAGCGAGGGGTGTGGCAGAAATTAGAGAGAGTTTGAATGTGGGAGAAAAGTAAGGGCTAAACTGAGAGCATTAACGTGAGAGGGAGTCACTGTTGAGAAACAACTGAAGCCACAGTTGTGCGCATCACCTAGAATGCCCCCCTGCCTGCTGCCACTCACCGACTGTCGCTTGCTGCCTTTCTTCTTCACCTCCCTGCCCATGCCACTCGCCACCACGTCCCTCCTCCCGCCCACCTCGCCCCCAGCCCGCCCCATGCCTTCCGCCCACGCCTCCCCATCCCTCCCATCCGTCTCCACCCTCCCCACTTCACCCCCCTCTGCCTGCCCCTGCTTCCTCGCCCCAGCAAGCACGTGGGTGTGCGGGTACAGGGGGGTTGTTATTGCAGCAGACTGAGAGCCAGCGGCTGGGGGGAAGGGGGAGGGAGAAGAGGGATGGCATGGGGTTGGGCAGTCGTTGGGGAGAGATTGGGAAGAGGTTGGGAAGAGGTTGGAAAGAGGTTGGGGAGAGGTTGGGAAGAGGTTGGGGAGTAGTTGGGAAGAGGTTGGGGAGGTTGGGGAGAGGTTGGGGAGAGGTTGGGAAGAGGTTGGAAAGAGGTGGAGAAGAAACTGGGGAGAGGTTCGGAGAGGTTGCGGACGGGAGGTGAACAACAGTGTAGGACTTCACAGGTGAGCAAAGGCCTTGTTCTGGCAACGGCAACAGTGCGGTGGCAGGTGAAGATGTCGAAGGAGTGGCAAGCAGAATGGAGAGAGCATCGCTGAGGAGCAGTCGTGTGACATGCAGAGAGTGCAGAGAGTGACTCCCAGCACCACCCACCTGCCGTTTCACCGGTGGCCAGTGCTGCGCCATCAGCAGCAGCAGCAGCGTCAGAGGAAGCAGAAGCAGCCGGGCGAGGAGGGAGGGCGGGGCTGGCATAGGACGCACATGTGACCTTTGGGGAAGCCGGGGGGTTCTTGGGCTTGCGGTGTGCGGATGGGCGCTGGCGGTGCTGTGAGGGATGGCGAGCACACGGGGCAGATAGGAATGCAGGGCAGAGGGGAACGAGATGGATGGTAGAGGGGAATGGATGGTAGAGGGGAATGGATGGTAGAGGAATATGCAGGGCGGGACATGCACGTCATGGCCCACACACACACCACATGCACGCCATGGTCCACACACATACCACATGCACGCCACGGCCCACACACATACCACATGCACGTCATGGCCCACACACACACCACATGCACGTCATGGTTCACACACACACCACAGCAGAGCGCTTGACTTTACCTTGCCAGCCACAGCAGCAGCATCCCCTGCTGCTGTTGTTGCCGTCGCTGCTCCCACTGCTGGGCTGCACACAATGCCTCCCTCACCCCCACTACCCATGCGTTGCTGCTCCGCGCCCCCCTCCACCTCTCCCTCGCCTCTCCCACCCGCCACGTCATGGGAAGAGCGGTCAGCGGAGGCAGACGCAGCCAACATGCCACCATCCTTGCTGCCCGCCTTCCCTGCCCCTCCCCCTGCTGCTCCTGCGGCTGATGCAACCTCCCTTGCACCCACCCCCTGCCCTTGCTTCCCACCCAATGCGCCCTGCTGCAACGCCCCTTCCCCTTCAGCATCAGCGCCCCCTCTCTCCCCCACTCCCAATGCCTTCCCCTTCTGCCCGCGCCCCTCCCCCTGCTGCTTCCCCTTGCCCCCCCTCCCCATGCCACCCACCTTCGTCCCACCCAGGCCCCTCCCTGCCCCTGCTCCACGTCCTCGCCCCTCGCCCCCTCCCTTTGCCCCCATACCTTTCATACCTTGCCCTCTGCCCAGCCCTCCTCTGCCCAACCCCCCTCTGCCCACGCCTGTACTCCCTACTTGCTGTGTCACCTCACCTACCCCCCTTTACCACTGACCTGCCCCTGCTGCGCCTTTCCCCCCTCCTGTGCCCCCTCTGCCCGCAACCCCCCATTCCCTGCATCCCTGCACCCGCCCCTTCGCCCCCCACCCTTGCAACACTCACCCCACCTTTCTCCCCACCCTCCCCATCTCCTGCCATTGACCCATGCTGCCCTGCACCCCCTGCCGCCTGCCCTGCCTGCTGCTGCCCCGCCACTGGCCTCGCACTCGCCTCACCAGAGTCCCCATCGCTCCCCCTCACCTCAATCCACCCCTCCGCCACCCCCTCTCTCTCCCCACGCAACCCCTCTCCCCCTGTCTCGCCCTCCTTGCGCTGCTGCAGGTGTGTGAGGGGCCGCTGCCTCACCGGCACCTGCTTCTTCCCCTGCTGCCTCGCCACTCCCTGTTGCCCCTTGTGCCCCGCCGCACTCACACCCCCTGCTGCTGCTTCTGCCCCTGCACCCCCACTGCCACCGCTCTCTCGAGCACCCCCTCCTCGCCCTCTCTTGTGCCGCTCACTCCCCCCACCACCTCTTGCCCGCCTGCCCTCTCCCCATCCGCCCTCCCCTTGTCCTCTCCCCCTTTCTCCGTTCCCCCACCAAAATACCCCTCTTCCTTCACAGGTACCCCTGCCCCCCCGCCCATCCCCACTAGGCCATCCAAAAACGAAGTAGGCCTCCCAGCAGAGGGGGCGGTGGCAGCAGGGGGGGGTGAGGCGGAGGGAGGGTGGATGGAGATAGAGGGATGGGAATGGGATGCGAGGTGTGGGGAGGGGGACGGATGGAGTGAGGGAAGGGGGTGAGAGGGGGAGGGGGAGAGGAGAAAGTCTGGGAGGAGGGGGAATGGGTCGGGGGAAGAGGCAGGGGGGAGTGTCATATGGTCCTGTGAAGAGGGGGGTAAAGAGGGGGGCCAGCAGGAAAAGAGGGTTGAAGGCAGCAGGAGAAATCGGGGAGGTGGATAGGGGCGAGGACTAGGTCTGGGGAGTGTGGGTTGAGGCAGGAGAGCGAGGCGAGAGTAGGAACGAGGGGGTGGAGGCGATAGATGGGATGGGAGGGATGGACGTCAACAGTTCAATTCACAGCAGAAGCAAGGCAGGTGTGCATGGGGTGGAAAGGTGTGCATGGGGTGGAAAGGTGTGCATGGGGTGGAAAGGTGTGCATGGGGTGGAAAGGTGTGCATGGGGTGGAAAGGTGTGCATGGGGTGGAAAGGTGTGCATGGGGTGGAAAGGTGTGCATGGGGGGGGTAAGGAGGTCTTACAGGGGCGGAGTGGAGGGGCGGCATGAGGTAGAGCGCGAGAGCCGTGGTGGCATGCTGCGACATGGGGAAGGTGAGTGGCGCCTGGTGGTCCCCGAAGGTGCACATGAGGGAAGGGGGGGAGGCAGACGGGGGGGAAGGAGGGAGGAGGGGGGCCCGAGGGAAAGAGGAGGGAGGGAGGGAGGGAGGGAGGGAGGGAGGGAGGGAGGGAGGGAGGGAGGGGAGGGGACTCAAGTGCAAGCAAGGGATAAGAGCAGGGCGAGTGGTGTGGTAGGCATGGGGCAGGGGGCAAGGTGCATGGTGCAGCATGGGGCATTGGGCATGGGGCATGGGGCAGCATGGGACATGGAGCTTGGTGCATGGGACATGGGGCATGGGGAATGGTGCATGTACGAGAGGAAAAGCTTACGGTAGATGAAGAGCAGGACAGAGAGAAAAGCAAAACGAAACACTCCCCCCATCATGCTCCCACCTCGCCCCTTCGCCCCTCACTCACCCCTCACCCCTTCATGCCCTCGCCCCCCCCCCCTCGCCCCTCAGCGCGCCTCTCACCTGGTCCACCCACGACCACCAGTCACTGCAGCTCATGTCCGCCCCTCGGCCCTCCTCCCTCTCTGGCGTCACCGGTGCACTCAGCCCTCTCTCTGCGTCCCCTCCCACTTCTGCCCCTCCCTCCATGCCCCCTTCCCCCTCCGCCCGTCCCCGCTCTGCCCCTTTTTCCGCTGCCCCTCTCCCAGCCCCTCCTTCTGCCACCTCCACTTGCACCCTCGCTTTTCTCCCCGCGCCCTTCCCCCTCAAGTCCCCATGAGCCCCCTCCACTTGCTTCCGCTTCCTCTCCCCGCCACCATCGCCTGCTTTCCCCTCGCCTTCCCCCGAGGAGAGAGGGCGAGCCACAGCAGCACCATAGGTCCTTGAACCTGCCTTGCTTTCCTCCTCTCTTCCCTCGTCTCTTCCCTCCCCACTCCTCTCCTCCTCCCCTGCTCGCCCATGCATTGGTTCACACCCCGCCCTCCCCTCGCCTGCACCTTCCGCCCTCTCCGTGCGCACCCTCTGTGCACACGTGGCTATGTGGCTCGCTGCTGCTCGCTTCCACAGCCGCTCCTGCCACCCAGGTGCGGTGGGGCGGTATGGGGCGGGGTGGAGAGCAGGAAGGAGATGGGTTGAAGAAGGGGTGGGGGACACAGGTTGGGCTGGAAATGCAGGGTACAGGCAAGATAAGGGCACTGGGAGCCAGGAGAGGGAAAGGACGCGTGTGGGCAGAGTGGGGAGTATGCAGCAGCAGAGCAGAGAGTGTGCGCGTGCAGGGGAGACAGGGAGAAAGGTGCAAGAGAAGCACGGACGAGCAGCGAAGCGAGGGAGCACGCACGGGGTAGAAGGGGCGAGGGAGTGGGCGGCGAGGGAGTGAGCAGGGCAGCACCTGTTGGAAGTCGTGGGCGAGCCATGCCATCTCCTGCAGCACGTAGTCCCACTGGCTGCTGCCCCCCGCCCGCACCCTCCATGCATCTCCACCCTCCGCCCCGCCCTCCTCACCCGCCCCCATCTCCCTCCATGCGGCCCCCGTGCCTGCCTCTGTGCTGCCAGTGCCGCCAGCAGCAGCAGCAGCAGCAGCAGCAGCAGCAGTGGTGGTGGCGGTAGGGTAAGCTGCAGCGAGCAGGCGACGGTTGGCCTGAGAGGGGGGAGTGGGAGGGGGGAAAGAGTGGTGGAGAGTGGGTGAGCATGTGCCACTGCCCCACCGCCCTCTCCTCTCTCAACATCCCACACAGCCTGTACCTACCGCACCACACCCTTCCCCCCTACCACGCCACACCCTTCCCCCCTACCACGCCACACCCTTCCCCCCTACCACACCACGCCCTGTCCCTGTCCCTTTCACGGCACTGCCCTCCCCACTCACCCAGATGCCATCAGCCTCCTCCAGCACGCACTCCTCATGTGCCCGCGCTGCCGCTGCTGCCAGCTCGCCCCGCCTCCGCCCCTCCTCCTCCTCCGCCCGCCTCCCCTCCCACACGTGCCTCGCCACCCACTCCCCCGCCTCCCCGCCCCTCCCCACAGCCCCCACTGCCACTGCACCCCCTTCAGCACCTCCTCCCCCACCGCCCCACCCACTCCACCCTGCCTCGCCTGCTGCTGCCCGCCCAGCCACTCCCGCTCCCCCACGCCCCCCCTCGCCTTCTCCTCCCCCTGCCCCTGCCACGGCCTCTCCTCCCCTTGCACCGCCATTCCCCCCAACCCCGCCGCCTTCCCCCCACGCATCTCCCCGCGCTCCCTCCAGAGAATCAGGCAGAAGCGAGGAGAGCGAGGCGAGGGAAGGGAGGGAGGGCAGCGAGGGCAGCGAGGGGGCGAGGGCGGAGGGCGAGGCAGCGAGGGCGGAGGAGGAGGAGACGGTGGGGATGGGCACAGAGGAGGGATCGGGCATGGGGATGGGCACCGGCACGTGCGACAGGGGCGCGTGGGGGGTGGGCGGGGGAGGGCGCTGCTCTGTAACCAGCAACCCGAGGGGGTCTCTGGACGCTGTAGGCGCGTGGCGCTCCTGCTGCTGCCCCGCCTGCCTCTCATGCCCGCTGCTGCTGCTTGCCCTTCCCCCCCCCTCGCTGCTCCCCTGCCCACCTGGTTCGCCTCCCCCTCCGGCCCTACCCCTGCCACTGGCACCACCGCTACCACTCCCGCTACCACCACTGCCCCCGCCATTGCCACTGCCGGCACCACCAGTGCCAGCCGCCATCGCCCTGTGGATTTCTGATGCGCCACCTGCCTCCTCAGCACGCACTGAGAGCGCCTGCGAGTGGGGGCGCCCAGCTCCATACAACCGTCCTGCCTCGCCCTCCCCACTCCCCTCCCTCCCTCCCCCTCTTCCTCCCTCGCTCCATCCCCACAACGCCCGACCCCCACCCATCCCCTCTTCCCTCCCCTTGACTCCTCTCCTCCTCCGCCCCCTCCCCGCCACCCCTGCTTCCGCCCATCCCCCCTCCGCCCCCCTGTCCCCGCTCCCCCTCCCCCAGCTCCCCCTGGGCGGAACCACCAGGGGGGCTGGCGGGGAGGGTGACCTCAACGGGGATGGGGGCGCCAGAGAGGGAGGAGGCGAGGGGGCGGGGGCGGGGGGCGTGGGGGGGCAGGGCGGAGTGCAGGCGGGCGAGCATGTGCGAGTGCGAGTGCAGCATGGCTTGCAAGGGCGCCCCCACCTGCAGCGTCACCACCACACACTCGCCTCCCCCCTCCTCCTCACCCCCACCACCGCCGGGAGCGGGAGTCGCAGCTATGACGGTGCAGAGGGGTTGGCGGTGGTCTGCTGCGGTGCAGGTATCATCGTCAGTATCCATACACACAACGTCAGCTGTGCCGTCATCATCATCAGAAACAGCATCAGCAGCAGCAACAGCATTCACACCATCATTAGCAGCACCAAGACTCAAAGCTCCTGCATTGCTCCTCTCCTCCACCCCACCCACAAGCACATCAGCATCAACCTCACAAGCACGCCACCTGTCCCCTTTCTCCTCCATCTCTTCCTCCTCATCCCCCTCCCCCTCGCCTCCTCCCCCTCCATTCCCGTCCTCCCTCCCCTGTTGCTCCCCCACCGCCCCTCCCTCTGCCACCACCCTCTCGCCTTGTGTCACTCTGTCGCCCCCACCATCCTGTTCTCATCCTCCCCACCGTCCTCCCTCGCATGCTCCGCAGCAGAGCTGCAGGCAGCTCGCAAGGCAGGGGCATGGAAGGGAGGAGGGAGCAGAGCAGAGGGCGGGGGAAGTGAAGACAGGAGAGCGGATGTGCGGCTGGGGCAGCGAAGGACAGGAAGGTCTAAGCAAACCGAGCCAGAAGACACATGGAGTGCGTGTGTGTGACGCGCAGTGGGAGTGAATGGAGTGCGCGCATGGTTGGGTTGGAGTGCTCTCAGCGTTCACGGCTCACCACTAGTGGGCCAAGCAGTTTTGACAGGGGGGTGGTTGGGGCTTGAAGGGTTGGTGCGCACACCTGGGGCAGGGTGGAAGGTCGACTCTGGTAGGCGCACACGGTGGGGGGGAGGGGGAAGGGGAGGACGTGGGGGAGAGCGGCAGCAGGAGGGGGGAGGGCAGGCGGGCGGAGAAGGGGAAGTCGAACACGTCCCCGCCCTGAAGAAAGAGAGGGGGAGCACGGTTGGGGGGTGGGGGTGCAGGCACACACATGAGAGCGTGAGGGCGGACGGATGGGAGGAGGGAGGGAGAGAGAGAAAGCGGGGGAGCAGGCGGAGGCAGCAGCAGAGGATCTTCCTTGTGTCCGACTGGCAAGCTCTCTCACTCTCTGCCATATGCGCGCCTCACTTCACTCACCTCCTCATACTCGCACCTCGTTCACTTACGTGCTTGCACTCACACCCGTGACCCCTCCGCGCTCACCTCCTCCAGGAATCGCAGCAACTCCGCCGCGCACGCGTTGCGATCGTCGCCCGCCAATGCGCTGCTGGCGCGGGCGGGGGGAGAGGGAGGCAGCGCGGACAGGAATGGGGGAGCGGAACGAAGGGAGAAGGAAGCGTGAGAACGAAGGAAACGGCAGAACGCGGAGGTACGCTCGCAGTGGCACGTGGCAGTGGCGCGCAGTCAGGCATGGAATGGAGTGGTTAGGGTTACGGTTGTGTGCCGAACCCAAACAGGCACACGACCGCGCGTAGCGGCCAAAAGGAGAGGCGGAGGGGCGGTCCGCGCCTCTGCGACACGCGCGGACCAGGTGACATTGAACGCGCGGTTCCACGTACGCGGGAGCGGCGGAGGCGAGGCCGGCAGCGGCGCGGGACGAGCAGGCCGGCATGGCGTCGAGCCGTCGAGAGCGCTTCGGAATGGCCTATTGAGCGCGCGACGAGTCACAGCGAGGACGGTGCGCCGCGGACAGCGGCAAGCGCGGAGGGCGCGGGCGGAGATTCGTGCGCCATCGCCGTGCGCGGCTGGCAGTGCGTTGTTTGCGGGGTCTCGCAACCGCTAGTCTGACGTGCAGGGCCTATGCAATGCGTTATTTTCGCTCAATGTTGTCTGATGAGGAATCTCCAGCTATGTGGAACTTTGTAATCACATTTGTGCAGATATTTAGGCTAAGGATTTCCTGTCATTTACCGTTTCCTACCAAAACGACGCGTGTTTGTGGCGAAGCAACCATTTCCAGGTTGGTTTCTCACAGCGTCGCAGTTGCCCCAGCGTCTCATAATCCACTCCGCCGCGCTGCCCTATGCTCCCACGCACCGCACCATTGACACCACCTGTCGCGCGCTCACGCCCACTATTTTAGCAACCACACCTCCCGTTCTGCCTCCGCGGCAAAAATATACGCGCGCGCAAACACGCACACTCCGAATCCTCTGCGTTCGCTGCGCTCACTGCGTTCTCTCCCCCGCCTCCGCTCACCTCCGCCTCTGCCAATGGCGACATCGCTTGCGCCACCGTGCCATTCCGCGCTCTCTCCGCCGCCCCTCCGCCTCGCTGCGCGCCATTCCCCCTTCCGCGCCTCCTCCCTGCCGCTCCGCCCGCGGGGGGTGACGCGCGGGGCGGTGCGCCGCGCGGCGCAGGGGGTGCGCGCGGGCGTGGCGGAGGCGGGCGGGGAGCCGGCGCCGATGGGGCAGGTGACGCGGTACAACGACTCGCCCATCGACCTCGCGCTCATGGGGCTCTTCCGCCGCAAGATGGAGCAGCAGATCGGTGGTGAGTGGTGACGCGCGGTGCGCAGTGATAAGAGGTGATAAGCGGTGAGCGGTGATGGGTGGTGAGTGGTGGTTGGCGCAACGTCTGGTCGTGCTCAGCTGCAATCTACGCTGCATGGCTGTTCCTTCATTTTGTCACCAACCGTGCCTCTTGCTCCCCTCCCTGCTTCATGGCATGGCATGGTGGCATGGTGGCATGACGGCATGACGACATGACATCACGGCGGCGCGACGGGAATCAGAGGTGGCGACTCGGAAGCGCGGGTACGAGGCGTTCGTGGAGGTGTCGCGGCGCGTGATGCAGGGGCGGTCAGCAGCAGAGCAGCGCGCCATCGTCGCCAACGTGCTCCTCTCGCTGCTGCCACCCAACGCGCCCGCCACTGTGAGAGCACCCCTCCTCCCCTCACTGTGAGAGCACCCCTCCTCCCCTCACTGCTTCATGCACAGGCGGTCAGCGTGCACGGCAGCCCCGCTGCTCTCCCCAGCCCCGCTGCTCTCCCCAACCCCGCTGTTCTCCTCGCTCTCCCCACATTCGCCAAGCCTTTCACTCACTGCATTTCCTTCTGCAGCCCCACGCGCCCTCTTCCCCACGCCACCTCTTCCCAACCCCCTCTCCCCCCCCCTCTCCGCCGCCCCTCTCCCCGCCCCCTCTCCCCGCCCCCTCTCCCCGCCCCCTCTCCCCGCCCTCTCTCCGCACCCCCCTCCCCCCAGTTCCGCAAGTGGTTTCCCCCCAGCAAGTTCTCCGCAGAGATCAACGCCGCCATCACAGTGCCGGGCTTCCAGTGGCTCGTGGGGCCCTGCCAGGTGAGGCTTTAAGTGGCTCGTGGGGCCCTGCCAGGTGAGGCTTTAAGTGGCTCGTGGGGCCCTGCCAGGTGAGACTTTAAGTGGCTCGTGGGGCCTTGCCAGGTGAGGCTTCCAGTGGCTCGTGGGGCCCTGCCAGGTGAGGCTTTAAGTGGCTCGTGGGGCCCTGCCAGGTGCGCCGCATGCCATGCCACTCGTGCTGCACCATGCTCCATGCCAACTGTCTCAAGGCTGCTATGCCATGCATGCCACTCGTTCTGTGCACCACACCATGTGAGTGCGCTGTCTCTGCCTCTCCTCGCACGCTGCGTAACGCAATCTCAGTCCTGTGCCCTGCGTCCTGAACCCTCTGTGTCCTTCTCTCGCTGCGCCCGCCCTGCCCTCCATGCTCTGCTGCTGCTCTTGCCCATCGCTGCTGCTGCTGCTGCCCATCGCCACTGCTGCTGCTGCCGCTGCTGTTGCTGCTGCTGGTGCACGGGGACAGCTGAAGGAGGTGGAGGTGAACGGGCAGAAGCAGATGAGCGGCGTGCAGATCACCAAGTGCAGGTGACAGCATCCTCACCACCTCTCCCAACCTATCCCCACCTTTTCCCGCCTCTGCCCACCACTTCGCACCTGTTTCTTCATGTTGCATGCCTCATGCTCCACTTGTCTTTTCCCATTGTCACCTCACCAGACACACAGACTTGGGTCATCAAACCCACCGACCAGCTACCCTGCTTGCTACTCTCACCCGTGCTCCGTGTCTGCACCCCTCCTGTATGCGCCACACCCCTACTCTCTGCTCTCCCACCCTCCCTGCGGTGCGGCTGTGCAGGTACCTGGAGGTGAGTGGGTGTGTGGGCATGTGCGTCAACATGTGCAAGCTGCCCACTCAGGACTTCTTCACCAACGACTTTGGTCTCCCCCTCACCATGACACCCAGTACGTCCCTCACCATGACACCCAGTACGTTCCACCCTGGCACTGTCAAAACTCACCACTGCTCTAGTGCAAGCTGCACTGCCTTGCTTTGCTGTTCCAGTTGCTGTCCCTCGCTGCACGCCTCCCTTACCCTCTTCACCGCTCTCCTCTGCTCCTCTCCTTGCACTCACTCAAGCATGCTTTTGCACAACCGTTCACATCCCACCGCGCACCCTCCACCACCGCACTCCCATGGGCAGACTTTGAGAACATGAGCTGTGAGATGGTGTTCGGCCGGATGCCTCCGCCCCTCTCTAAGGTGACTTTTGAGTCGACTTAAAACCCACCAAGCACCCTCCACTCCCCCCTCCCCCCCTCTTCTTCCCCTCCCCCCCCCCCCCCTACAGACTTTGAGAACATGAGCTGTGAGATGGTGTTCGGCCAGATGCCTCCTCCCCTCTCCGAGGACCCCGCCCTCTCCCAGCCCTGCTATGCCACACTCTGTGAGTCTAGGCCTGCTGTGGTGGCGTGGTTGGCGTGGTCGCATGGTGGCATGGTGTGCTTCTCTGCTCCCTGTGCTTTGCAGCATCCTCCCACCCTACTTGCCCTTGCTAACACCTCAGCCGCCAAGCTCAGGCAACAGCTGTTTCAGACCAAATACCTAACAGCTGCGTTTCTACACGGGCCATGGAGCATTGTTGATTGGTGGGAATTCTCATGAGTTTCTCCAGAGTCATGGTGCATTGCTGGACTGCCTCCCGTTCGTTTCTTTTCATCACTGTGCATTGGATCTCCTGTGTTCTCTCCCCGTGCCCATGCCTGGCAGGCTCCATGGCCCAACCAGAGGCTGACAAGTGTCCACGTGTTCCTGATGCCACACCCTGATGCACAGCCCTCAAATCTGCCTATTCAGTCTCTGTAATTATGTTGATAAACTTTTAGTGAACCCCTAATGTTATGGTTCTTGCATATGCCTATTTACCAGATACCCATGGTCACTTTCTTGGTCGGAATCTCGTGTGTGGCTTGCATTCATCCATGGGCCATCACATCATGATGCGCCATGCGCACATGCCATGGGTCAGTATGGGATGAGTCTTGCAGCGCACTAAGTGCCCTAAAGGATGGCGCACGAGGTCTCTTCTGGAAGGGGGTAAAGGGGTGGTTCAAGAACACACGCTCTAGGGTGGATTGTGGCCGATCAAGCAGCTCGAGAAAAGCAACTCAATATCAACTCAAGGGACACACAAGACAGCATGGTAACAAAGCAATGGGTGAAAAAACAGAGGACAGGAGTGTAGAGTGGTGAGCGGCCGAGCCCCATCCGCTGCCGCCCCGCAACACACATGACAGCACAGCCGCCCTGCTGCTGGTGTCGGGACTCGGGCTGCTCGCACTGCAGTGGGAAGAAACTGCTCCGCATGTCAGGATCGCACCAGAGCAGCAAAACGCATGACGACCCCGTCGCACATCAGCTCTGTCCTTATCATACCTAGCTAGCCCTACCCCATTGGATCCCATGAGAGCAAGGAGGGGTCAGGTCAGAGCAGCGTGCAGCACCCACCCTGAGCGTCCATGGTGCCGCCCAGGCGGTGCTGCAGTGCCTCCAGGCGCGCCACCACCTGCGTGAACTCGGGGCGCTTGTCCGCCTCCGCATCCCAACACTCCTGCATCAACGCTGCTAGCTCCGGCTCACACCCCGCTGGCACCTCCGGTCGCATGTTCTGTGATGAAGGGAGGAGGGTAGGGATGGAGGAGGGTGGGAGGAGAGGGAAGGGGTGTTGAAGAAGAAAGAGGAGAAAAAGTAGGGATTGTGGAGAGGAAGCTGAGAGAGAGAGAAAAATGATATAGGGGAGGTAGGTTGGCTGTTAGTTAGAAGAGGATAGGGGAGAGATGTGGAAATGGTAAGAGGACAGGCATGGGGATAGGCATGGGGATAGGCATGGGGATAGGCATGGGGATAGGCATGGGGGATGATGGCAATAACGCACGGGGCTTAACCTTCAATACCTGCACACTGCACAGCACACCCACTCTTTCTGCTCTGCTTGCTGCCACGCATGCTTCCACAACTCGTCGTTGTGCCATGTATGATTGATCTCTGCTCCCTGCCTGCTTGCTTAATTCATCTCTGAAATATGATCATTCTGCCCACCGCCCGCCACTGCCTTGTTGACAAGTGTAATGGAGCCTGGCCCACCTTGTTGACACAAGTGTGCATGTAAGGCCCGCCATTACCTTGTTGACGACGTTGAAGGCGAGTTGGATGAAGGTGAGGCCCTTGAAGGGCAGCTCGCTGGTGACCAACTCCCACAGCACGATGCCAAAACTGTACACGTCCACCTTGCGCGTGTACGGCTTGTGGTCTATCACCTGCACGGTGGGGGGTGGGGGGGGAACGGGAAGGAGAATTGAGGTGTGAAATGCGAGTCTCACACAGCATAATGCTCTCCCAATCTGTACCCATCCACCTTGCGCGTGCACGGCTTGCAGTCTATCACCTGTGCGTGCGAACAGGCGGGGGAGAGGGAGGGGGCAGAAGGAAAAGGCAAGTCGGGTTGTGTATTGTGATTTTCTGCACGGCAGCATGCCCACGTAAGTTTTACACATCCACCTTTGTGTGCATGGCTTGCGGTCTATCACCTGAGAGTGAGAAGGGGGAATAGTTGGTTGTGTCACTGCAGGCGCAAGGGGAGGTGGGGAAGTGCATGGGGGGCGCGTGTGGGGTGCAAGGAGGCTTGCATGGATGGATGTATGTATCCCATCCCGTGTCATCTCATACACAAGCCATCCAGCTCACCTCAGGCGCCATCCAGCTCACCTCAGGCGCCATCCACCTCACCTCGGGCGCCATCCACCTCACCTCGGGCGCCATCCATCGCACGGTGCCGGTCTCGCAGGTCATGTCGTTGGGGTTCTTGGCCTCCGTGCGCGCCTCTCCTACCCTCAACACCCATGCACTCACTCATCTCCCACTCTCCATCCGCCCCGCCTCACCTCGGGCGCCATCCAGCGCACCTCTGACTACTCCCCCTCCCCGCCTCACCTCGGGCGCCATCCAGCGCACGGTGCCGGTTTCACAGGTCATGTCGTTGGGGTTCTTGGCCTCCGTGCGCGCCTCTCCTACCCTCAACACCCATGCACTCACTCATCTCCCACTCTCCATCCGCCCCGCCTCACCTCGGGCGCCATCCAGCGCACCTCTGACTACTCCCCCTCCCCGCCTCACCTCGGGCGCCATCCAGCGCACGGTGCCGGTTTCACAGGTCATGTCGTTGGGGTTCTTGGCCTCCGTGCGCGCCACGCCAAAGTCCGCGATCTTGACCGCCCCTTTGTGGTCCAGCAGCAGGTTGTCGGACTTGAGGTCGCGATGCACCACGTCGCGCGCATGCAGGTAGCTGGGGAGGGGGGGGTGGAGGGGGGGGAGGGGGGGCGTGGGGTGGGGGGCGAGGGGGGGTTGTGAACTTGTGAGGGAGAAAGGGGGAAAAAAACTAAGGGGATGAGGAAAGGGGAGGGTGGGCAGCGATCTTCACGGCGCCCTTGTGGTCCAGCAGCAGGTTGTCCGACACTTGAGATCGCGATGCACCACGTCGCGCGCATGCAGGTAGCTGGAAAGTTGAAAAAGGGGGGTGGAAGGTGGAAGGGGTTGGGGAGGAGGGGAAAGGGGAAGGGAAAAGGTGAGGAGGAGGGGAGAGAAGTGGGGGAAGAAAGAGGGGCGAAATCCCGGGGCAGCAACCACTTTCTCCTCCATCAACGGCCATTCATGCCACCAATCCCCTGCTCTCATCTATTTCCTTCCCAACCTGCCCTAACCACCCTCCTTCATGCCCACCCCCCTCACCCATCACAAGCACCCCTCTTTCTCTTACACTCCCCTTCCTCCCCACTCCCCCCGTTCGGCGCACCAGAGGCCGCGCGCGATGTGCAGCGCGAGGCGGACGCTCTCTTTGGGCGGAAGCTTGCCGCGGCGGGCGAGGTACCCGCGCAGCGTGCCCCCGCCCATGTACTCCGTCACGATCGCCCACAGCGGCTGCCCCGGCGGCGGCTTCGCGTCGCTCGGCGCGCGGATATTCCCCGCGTTAAGCGACGCGCCTATGAACTGGGGGGGGGGAGGGGGGGGGGGGGGGGGGGGGGGGGGGGGGGGGGGAAGGGGAGGGCGGAAGGACGGGTAGGGGGAGGATGGAAATGGAGAAGGGAAAGAGGGGAGGGAGGCAGATGCGGTGGGAGCGAGTGAATAAGGGGATGGGGAGGCACACTACAGAGCATTCCGAACTGCTTGGTCCATTCCATGCTGCTATCAACACGACGTTGGCGTGCGACGGTGAATCACCTGCACGACATGCGCGTGGGACTGTGTGGTTGGGGTGCGAGAGCGTGCGACATGGCATTACCTGCACGACGTTGGGGTGCGATATGGCAGTACCTGCACGACGTTGGGGTGCGACATGGCAGTACCTGCACGACGTTGGGGTGGGAGAGCGTGTGCCACACTTTGATCTCCTGCAGGAAGGAGCTCTTGAGTCCCTCCAGGTCCTTGGCCGCCATGTCCGCCGGCACGTTCAGCAGCTTCACCGCCACGTCATCGCCCTCGTACAGCCCGTGATACACCTTCCCGAACGCGCCCGCCGCCAGCTGGTTCGTGCACATCACCTGCGGACACGGCAGGGTTGCGAAAGGGAGAAACGGGCGAGGGGTTTTTATACTTTAGAGTCGACTCAAAAGTCACCTCGAACGCGCCCGCCGCCAGCTGGTTCGTGCACATCACCTAAGGACACGGGGCCGCGAAATGCGGCAGCCGCACGGCAGGATTGTGAGAGGGCAAAGAGGACAAGGGATGCTCTGCGCAGGGTGATGATGCAGCAGCGGGTGCGCGCATGACAGCACCAACTGTACAATGACAGTAGTTGGAGCACTTTTCGATATAAGTAGTCCGCTCTACTAGAACTCGGCCTATACCCAACTGCCAAGCCGTCACACTTACTAACCAGCCCAACTCACCTTACTCATATCCAGCGTCCACGGCGCCGCGCCTCCGCTCTCATCCGCAACCTTCGCCGCCGCCTTGCCCAGTCCGCCCTCCGCCTTCTCCGCCGCTCCCCCGTCCGCCTTCCCCTTGGCGGCTGCGCCTCCCCCGCCCCCCAGCGCGTCCATGGTGCTCAGATCCAGCAGGTCCGCGCGCACCATTCCGCCGCCCTCCGTCCCCATCGCCCCCGCCTTCTTTCCGCTTCCGCTTCCGCTTAGGCTTACCGCGCGACTAATTTGTCTTGACCGCCTCGACTTTCACTTTCACTCCGCGCCACTCTTCGGCTCGGTTCTATTCATTCACCAAGAATGCGATATTCACAATGAGCAAAGAAGCGACTTTCGAGCGACTCAAAAGTCTTCGGCTCTACTCTAGTCTTTCACGATGCGTGGTCGGCAGCGACACAGGCCTTCATGATCTTATCTCGCGCTTCGAACGCAGGAGTCAAGTACTATTCGGCGGTCGTTAGACGGAGGCCGTCTGGTGCGCTTCTGCGTCTTGAATTTCCGCAAAGCGCTCCCGGTTCAGCTACTAGCGGGTGACGGGAATTCGTAGTGCGGATTCATGGCGACGGGTGAGCTGGCGCACTGCGATACGATGACCGATGTTGACGAAATTTCGCTCAGTTTTTCCAGCATCTGTGGAGGCCAGCAGGCGTCGCGACGGACCGTCACCCGAGGGTCAGAATGCACAGCGGTGCATTGCTGTGCTCTCTTCAGATACTCGCAGGACAGTACAGCGCTATCAACACGCCATGCGTTGGATTTTGGAGAAGCTGCAGCATTCAAGTTTTTTGGAGGAGTGTGGCTCTGGAGGAAGTTGCTTGATTGCTGGTTGAGTTGAGTACAGGCAACGACTAGGCTCCTCTAACCTGAACTTGCTATGGACTGGAGCGAGTGAAGAGAGGAGAGCTGCGGCAAACAAACTTGAAGATCAGATGCAATCTGGGTTCTTCAACGCAAAGACAACAGCAGGCAGGCAGCTGACAAGCCCAAGGCAGTGACGTGACGGAAACGAAAAGCGGATTGGCCTGGAACGGGACTCACCACGTGTGAACTTCGATTGGCAGATAATGAGCGCCGGAACACACGTGGCCACATTTTGTGCCCTAGAGGAGTGTCTTTTCTTCCCACGTGAAAGCCATTGTCCTTGCGCGATATGGATACAAGAGGAGCAGGCAGAGCGATTCATATAGAGCGACCAAAAACGAAACATGACGAACAATACCCTGCTTATCTAAGGGCGTGTAACTTTTTTTCTTTTTGACCGTACGTACCGTATACGAAATTGGTATCCGGATATCGTCAAAACCCGCATGATCTGCAATTCGATAACGAGCTTGGACGGTCCGTACCGTGAGCGGGATACCCTTTTCGCATACGGTCCGTACGGAAAAGTTACACGCCCTAATTCACTGTGTCAGATTACCTCTTAGTCTGTGGTGAGAAACAAATAGTCTGTGTCTACTGCCACTGTTCACTAAGAAGGCATCAAATTCCACTCATCATCATCGATTTCCATTCCAGTCACCGCATGGAAGAACATCATACACCATATAGAAATGAGTACGTGACATGCAAAGTTGATGTGGATCGTAGAGCTATAGTAGACTGAACCTACACTACACAATTTATTTGTCCTACCCATAAATGCAACCTATTCCATAGCCTCGGCCTACGTGGCATAAGCAGGTTGGTCGGCCGCGGGGTCGTCTTGAGAGGGCAGCCAATGGGAGGTGAGGCGCCTGAAGCGCGTTGCTGCATCCACCAACACTCTCTTTAACGCCAGGCCCAGTGCAGCAAGCAGCACAGCCAGTGCTGCCAGCACCACCCTCACCTTGAGCACCACGCTGCCTCCCATGCGGCCAAACGCCGCTCCCAGCAACAGCCACAGCCGCTTCCTCCTCGCCACTGCCTCCGCTGCTGTCGCCCTCCCCTCCCTCTCCTCCCACTCACTCTCACTCCCACTCTCACTCTCGTACCCACTCTCGCTCCTGGACACACCAGCCACTCCCACACTGCCAGGTGGCTGTCTCTGACTGGCGAATCCCAGAGCGGCAGCAGGCGCGGAGGGAGGGGGGGAGGGAGCGAGGAGGTGGGTGGGCGAGGAGGAGAGCTGGGAGGCGGTGATGGCATCGAGGGGCAGCTGGGCCACTCCCAGGGAGGCGCACAGGGCATCTGCTACCACGCGCGCTAGCTTGTCCCGTGCCACCTCTGCTTCTGGTGATACGAATGCCTCTGCCAGTGCACGCATGTCCTGGGAGAGCGTGGTTGTGGGTACGGTGGGGTGAAGTGGGGTGGAGTGAGGTGGTGTGAGGTGGGTACATAGGGTTGTTTGGCAGAACCAGGGATGCGCACAGGACGTCTGCCACCACGCACTCCAGCTTGTCCCATGCTACATCTGCTACTGGGGATACAAACGCCTCTGCCAGTGCACGCATGTCCTGGGAGAGGGCATAGTTGGGGGGTGTGGAGGGGCGGAGTGACGTGGTGGGGGGAGGATGCGTGTATAAAGAGCTGTTTAGCTAAGCCCAGTGACGCATTCACACACAGCTGCCATTGCCACTGCCGGTACCCAATTCGCACACGCGATGTCCTGCCGATCAGGGATGGGGGAAAGGGGTGTGGGACGAGTGTGAAGGCCATACCCACGCATGCGAGTTGCAGGGTCCGTACGAGTGTGAACGCCGTACTCCTTGCATGGTCCAGCAGTTACACAGGACAGGGAGGCATGGCAAGGAGTGCACGGCTCAGCATGGAAGCCATGTGGCATGTGCGAGGGGAAGCAGTCTTGGGAACCGGGGAGAAGAAGCATCCGTACGGACTCAAGGATGACTCGCCATGCGCTGGCAGCGTGGCGGGACAGCAGCACATCCATCCCCAGCGCGGAAAGGGGATCGGTCTCATGTTAGCAAGGCAGGGTATGTGGGGAAGCTGTGTGTCGACAGGAGGGGGGCATTGTACCTACTATGTAGGGACCTACCGATTCAAGGATGACTCGGCGTGCACTGGCAGCGTGTCTAGAGAGCAGCACTTCCATCACCAGCGCTGCCGGGCTGGGCGTGGCGCGTTGAGAGGCGGCGCCAGCAGTGGCGGCGGAGGAGAGTGGGGGAGAGGTGCCGGGCATGGGGGGCATGCCTGGGATGGGTGATTGCAGCGATGGCATGGCCAGTGATGCCACCAGGTCGCTGGATAAGGGGGGGAGGGGGAGGGCAGGGAGAGGGGGGCAGAGAAGAGGAAAGCAGCAGGTGTTGATTGTGGAGACGGGACACGACATGCGTGCAAGTGGGATGCTGGGAGGGGGAGGTGTGTACATGGAGGGTGAAGATGCGATGTGTGGAGATGCCTTGCAGGCCACTCATGACACAATGAGCCAGCCTACGTACCCTGTGGCAGGCTGCTTTACTGTGCCCTCACCCTTCCTCCCTGCTGCATTCATCCCACGTACCGCTGGGCTTGTGTGGAGCTGGCAGCAAACGAGGCAAATCGCTCCCACCGTAGCTTGCCTTCTCGTGTTTGGACCAGCTGGAACGAGGGATGGAAGGAGGGGGGAAGTGGCGGATGGGACGTGTCAAGTTGTCATGTATCACTTCTCTTTTGAGGCGCCTCAGATCGAACTTCCAACAAGCCCACCGCGTAACACTCGTTAGACCATGACCCACCAGCCACACTACGTTCTCTCCCAACCCTTTCCCTTCCCCTTTTCTCCCTTCCTCCCCCTCTCCCTCCACCTCCCCCTTCACCCTCACCTGGCGCAGCACGTGGCGCGAGGAGGGCGAGCTGTCTGTGAGCAGACGGCGCACCACGTAGGGGTAGGCTGAGGCGAACACACGGAAGGACGGGTCCACTGCCACGCCGATGCCTGCACGCACACGGATGGGCATGGGAGAATAATCACTTAAAAGCGCAGCATAGGGGTAGGCTGGGGCGAACACTGGGATGGCGGTGGAAGGAGTGGAGGGAGACGGACTTGCGGTGATGGTGCCCATGGGGTATGGAGCCCAGGGAGTGAACTCGTTGGTAGCGTGGGGCTGATGAGAAGAGGGCACTCAAACGCACTGTTAGCCCACCACGCAGTGGTAGGCTGAGGCGATGACACGGATGGCGGTGGAAGGAGTGGAGGGAGAAGGACATGTGGTCATGGTGCACATGGGGCATGCAAGCAACCAAGGTGCGAACGCGATGGTAGCGAGGGGCTGGAAGAGAGAGGGGCGGTGCAGAGAGACAAAGGAAGCACCTTGAAGGGACAAGAGGGATCAGCACAAGGGTGTAGTAAGAAGGGGGGAAAGAACTGTGGCGGCGGGGGAAATGGAGGTGGGTGACAGGGAGGGGGTAGGGTTTTTGTACTTGCAGGAGGGTCTTGGTGGGGTTTTTGTACTTGCAGAGTGCTGAACGGAAGGGTAAATCCCTTGCTGTCGAGAACAATAGCCTCCATGAAAAGGTCCAAGAACTTCAACGTTCATTGGATCAATAAAAAAACTCCAAAACGGTTCTCGAACAATTGTTGGGAGATGTAAGTGTCAGCACATTTCCTGCTCTACGTCAAAATGTGCTGACACTTACATCTCCCAACAATTGTTGGAGAACCGTTTTGAAATTATTTGATTGATCCAATGAACGCTGAATTTCTTGGACATTTTCATGGAGGCCATTGTTCTCGACAGCAAGGGATTTACCTTTCTTTTCAGCACTCTGCAAGTACAAAGACCCCACCAAGAACCCCTTGCGCATCGCAGCCAGGTTGAGCTGCCGCTGCTGCCGCACGGGGGAAGGAGCCCAAGTATGCTAACCGACCAGCATGGGTCAGTTTCCTAGCAATGGCAGCCGAGACGTACGGGCACTGCTTGCCCGGGGTGCTCGAATTCCTCCGCATCTGCGCTAACCTCGCAGCAAAGTGTCTACACAACGCGGAGCCCTCGTCTAGAGAGGCGCCAAAGCTCTACCACTCATATAGGCAGCAGTGGACGATCACCCTGCAGCGCGCCCAAGCGAACGCGCTAGTTGCTAAGACGGTGACGGCCTTTGAGGCCGGAGCAGCGCCCAGCCCGCTCCAGAGCGAGTTACTTGGCATCGGGGACCTCCTGCACGTGCTCAAGCCACAGCTCGAGCTGTCGTAGAGTGCTTGCCTACCTGTATGCCGTGATCTTAGTGTGCTGTATCATTTCTGTTTTTTAATGAAAGGTCCACTTCGATGGGGCAGGGGACACCTTCAAGGGAGGCAAGGGAGTGGAGTGCGAGGGTGTAGTAGGGGAGAAGGAGGGTGGAGGCAGACATAGGAACGGCAGGGGAGGAGGGGGCAAGGGGAGGCACCTTCGAGTGAGCCGAGGGAGCGCAGCACGAGGGTGTAGTAGGGGGGGAGGGAGAGCAGTGGCAGTGAGAGCAGTGGCACACACACGGAGATGGAGGCAAGGAGCAGCACCTTCGAGGGACGCAAGGGAGCGCAGCACGAGGGTGTAGTAGGGGGGCAGGCGGAAGCGGAAGCGCAGCGCCATGCGCCATAGCTCACTCGTCACCTGGTCGCATGGGGAGGGGAGAGGGGGGATGGATGATAACAGGTATGCTGGTAAGGGGCCATGGTGCGACGGCAAGGGATGGGTTGAGGAAGCACAGCGCCATGCGCCATAGCTCACTCATCACTTGCCCATGCGGGGAGAGTATGACAGGGGGAGAGGGACAGCAGGACAAGGGGACAGGGGTATAGTGGGGGGACGTGGCATGGGGGCAAGGGAGGAGAGTAGGGTGCATGGCTTCAGGGCACCTTGCACGGCACAGGAAGGCAAAACACAGAGTGGAAGGGCGGATAGAAGTGAGAAAGAAGGCGAGGGGTGCGGGGAAGACATGGCTGGATCGGACAGCACTGCCGGTGGTAACAACACCGCAGGTTCAGAGAGCATGGCACACCTGTCCGAACTGCATGGTGGGGGCGCCTGAGGCGGCTCCTCTCTGCCGGCCGCGACCAAACGCCTCCTCCAATGCCTGGCCAGAGGGCACACCAGGGGAGGGTGCCACAGGGTGGTGTTACAGGGTGGGTGAAACGGAATGGAGTGGCAGAGTGGTGAGCCGGATTCAGGCATGTGTGAGAGAGCATGCGAGAGAGAGCATGCGAGAGGGGAGAATGGCAACCGGATCCATGGCATGGGCAGGCTGAGTGCAGCGCCGAGTGCAGCGCCGAGTGATGAGCGTGAGGGTGGATGGGTGTGAGAACCCACCATGGTGAGGGCGCGCCTGTCAGTGGTGTGAGTGAGGGTGTCCATGGTGCCAGCATGGTCCACTCGCCGTGTGGGCACGTGCACATGCCAGCAATACTCACCATAGTGAGCGCGCGCCGGTCAGTGGTGGGTTTGAGAACGTCCATGGCAGCGAGGTCGGCTGCCAGCATGCTCCACTCGCCGTTCACCAGATGCGCCACCGCTGCCAGCATGGCCTGCTGGTGCTGCCGCTCCATGCGACACAGCAGACCAAAGTCCAGATAGCTGGAGAGGGTGGAGGTAAGGGAAGAGGCGAGGGCAGGCAGAAGGACGTGGAAGAGGATTTGAAGCACCAGTGCTGCCGCTCCACACGACACAGCAGGCCAAAGTCCAGATAGCTGGAGGGTGGAGGAGAGGGAAGAGGCGAGGAGAAGCAGAGGGAGGTGAAGAACATGGCCCCATGCAAAAACCTGTGCAAGCATGGCTTCCTGGTGCTGCCGCTCCATTCGACACAACAGATCAAAGACCAGGAAGCTGGAGTGTGGAGAAAAAGGAAGGAGGTGAGGAGAAAAGGAGAGAGAAGCTTAGAGGCACCACCTGCTGGTGTGTGGGTGTAAGGCGCCACCACTAACACCTGGGCAGGCGCCACCACTAACACACCTGGGCAGGCGCCACCACTAACACCTGGGCAGGCGCCACCACTAATACACCTCGGCAGGCGCCACCACTAACACACCTGGGCAGGCGCCACCACTAACACACCTGGGCAGGCGCCACCACTAACACCTGGGCAGGCGCCACCACTAACACACCTGGGCAGGCGCCACCACTAACACACCTGGGCAGGCGCCACCACTAACACACCTGGGCAGGCGCCACCACTAACACACCTGGGCAGGCGCCACCACTAACACACCTGGGCAGGCGCCACCACTAACACACCTGGGCAGGCGCCACCACTAACACACCTGGGCAGGCGCCACCACTAACACACCTGGGCAGGCGCCACCACTAACACACCTGGGCAGGCGCCACCACTAACACACCTGGGCAGGCGCCACCACTAACACACCTGGGCAGGCGCCACCACTAACACACCTGGGCAGGCGCCACCACTAACACACCTGGGCAGGCGCCACCACTAACACACCTGGGCATGTGTGTGTGCGTGTGCATGCATGTGCAGGAGGGGCCATGGGTGGGAGAGAGAGCACGCACGCTACTTGGCCTTGTGGAGTGAGCAGCAGGTTGCCGGGGTGTGGGTCCGCGTGCAGCACGCCCGTCACCAGCAGCTGCTCCAATGATGACTCCACGCCTATGCCCACCTGGCGGAGAGAGGGAAATGATGCAATGGGGAATGGAAGTGATGCACAAGGACGAGGAGCATGAACAATGTGTCACAGAGACGAGCAATTCAAGACCCCATCACTCCCCCACTGCTCCTCCCGCTCCCCTTACCATTCTCCACCCCTCTCCCCCACCACCACCCCCACCCCACCATGCGCAGCAGCTTCTGCTTTGCGCGCTACCGTGCGTCCTCCCCTCCAGCGGCCCCCAGCACGCCCTCACAGCCTCACTCACACCGCTCACCCCCCCCCCCACTCCCACCCACCATGCGCAGCAGCTTCTGCTTGGCACGCTGCCGGGCCTCCTCCCCTCCAGCAGCCCCCAGCACGCCCTGCGCCTGGGCCAGCAGGTCGCTGGTGCGCTCGCCCTCCACCCACTCCATCGTCAGCACTCGCCGCGATGTCAGGTCTGGGCGGATGGTGGGGACCGTGATGCCTGGCAGGTGCGCGTGGGCTTTCTGGCAGAGGGGTTATAGGGGGCAGAGGGGTGAAGGCGGAGGGCGTCGGTTGGTTGAGCCTGGGCCAGCAGGTCGCTGGTGCGCTCGCCGTCCACCCACTCCATCGTCAGCACACGCCGGGACGTCAGGTCCGAGCGGATGCTTGGGAGATGCGCGTGGGCTTTCTGGTGGCGGGAGGGGGGGAGGGGAGGGCAGGGGTGGGCAGGGGTGGGGTGGGTTGGGGAGGCAGGGCGCAGCGCAGGAAACAGGGAGTAAGGGATGAAGGGGGTGGCACTTCACTTGGCTGAGCCTGGCCCAGCACGTCGCTGGTGCGCGCGCCCTCCACCCACTCCATCGTCAGCACTCGGCTCGATATCAGGTCTGGGCGGATTGCTGGCACTGTGATGCCTGGAAGGCGTGCATGTGCACGCTGGTGGGGGGGAAAGGGAGGGCAGCAGTGCACTGCAGGGGGCGGGAAGCGCAGGGCAGGAGAGGCGGGGCGCAGGGCAGGAGAGGCGGGGCGCAGGGCAGGAGAGGCGGGGCGCAGGGCAGGAGAGGCGGGGCGCAGGGCAGGAGAGGCGGGGCGCAGGGCAGGAGAGGCGGGGCGCAGGGCAGGAGAGGCGGGACGCAGGGCAGGAGAGGCGGGACGCAGGGCAGGAGAGGCGGGACGCAGGGCAGGAGAGGCGGGACGCAGGGCAGGAGAGGCGGGACGCAGGGCAGGAGAGGCGGGACGCAGGGCAGGAGAGGCGGGGCGCAGGGCAGGAGAGGCGGGGCGCAGGGCAGGAGAGGCGGGGCGCAGGGCAGGAGAGGCGGGGCGCAGGGCAGGAGAGGCGGGGCGCAGGGCAGGAGAGGCGGGGCGCAGGGCAGGAGAGGCGGGGCGCAGGGCAGGAGAGGCGGGGCGCAGGGCAGGAGAGGCGGGGCGCAGGGCAGGAGAGGCGGGGCGCAGGGCAGGAGAGGCGGGGCGCAGGGCAGGAGAGGCGGGGCGCAGGGCAGGAGAGGCGGGGCGCAGGGCAGGAGAGGCGGGGCGCAGGGCAGGAGAGGCGGGGCGCAGGGCAGGAGAGGCGGGGCGCAGGGCAGGAGAGGCGGGGCGCAGGGCAGGAGAGGCGGGGCGCAGGGCAGGAGAGGCGGGGCGCAGGGCAGGAGAGGCGGGGCGCAGGGCAGGAGAGGCGGGGCGCAGGGCAGGAGAGGCGGGGCGCAGGGCAGGAGAGGCGGGGCGCAGGGCAGGAGAGGCGGGGCGCAGGGCAGGAGAGGCGGGGCGCAGGGCAGGAGAGGCGGGGCGCAGGGCAGGAGAGGCGGGGCGCAGGGCAGGAGAGGCGGGGCGCAGGGCAGGAGAGGCGGGGCGCAGGGCAGGAGAGGCGGGGCGCAGGGCAGGAGAGGCGGGGCGCAGGGCAGGAGAGGCGGGGCGCAGGGCAGGAGAGGCGGGGCGCAGGGCAGGAGAGGCGGGGCGCAGGGCAGGAGAGGCGGGGCGCAGGGCAGGAGAGGCGGGGCGCAGGGCAGGAGAGGCGGGGCGCAGGGCAGGAGAGGCGGGGCGCAGGGCAGGAGAGGCGGGGCGCAGGGCAGGAGAGGCGGGGCGCAGGGCAGGAGAGGCGGGGCGCAGGGCAAAAAGAGGCGGGGCGCAGGGCAGGAGAGGCGGGGCGCAGGGCAGGAGAGGCGGGGCGCAGGGCAGGAGAGGCGGGGCGCAGGGCAGGAGAGGCGGGGCGCAGGGCAGGAGAGGCGGGGCGCAGGGCAGGAGAGGCGGGGCGCAGGGCAGGAGAGGCGGGGCGCAGGGCAGGAGAGGCGGGGCGCAGGGCAAAAAGAGGCGGGGCGCAGGGCAGGAGAGGCGGGGCGCAGGGCAAAAAGAGGCGGGGCGCAGGGCAGGAGAGGCGGGGCGCAGGGCAGGAGAGGCGGGGCGCAGGGCAGGAGAGGCGGGGCGCAGGGCAGGAGAGGCGGGGCGCAGGGCAGGAGAGGCGGGGCGCAGGGCAGGAGAGGCGGGGCGCAGGGCAGGAGAGGCGGGGCGCAGGGCAGGAGAGGCGGGACGCAGGGCAGGAGAGGCGGGGCGCAGGGCAGGAGAGGCGGGGCGCAGGGCAGGAGAGGCGGGGCGCAGGGCAGGAGAGGCGGGGCGCAGGGCAGGAGAGGCGGGGCGCAGGGCAGGAGAGGCGGGGCGCAGGGCAGGAGAGGCGGGGCGCAGGGCAGGAGAGGCGGGACGCAGGGCAGGAGAGGCGGGACGCAGGGCAGGAGAGGCGGGACGCAGGGCAGGAGAGGCGGGGCGCAGGGCAGGAGAGGCGGGGCGCAGGGCAGGAGAGGCGGGGCGCAGGGCAGGAGAGGCGGGGCGCAGGGCAGGAGAGGCGGGACGCAGGGCAGGAGAGGCGGGACGCAGGGCAGGAGAGGCGGGACGCAGGGCAGGAGAGGCGGGACGCAGGGCAGGAGAGGCGGGGCGCAGGGCAGGAGAGGCGGGGCGCAGGGCAGGAGAGGCGGGGCGCAGGGCAGGAGAGGCGGGGCGCAGGGCAGGAGAGGCGGGGCGCAGGGCAGGAGAGGCGGGGCGCAGGGCAGGAGAGGCGGGGCGCAGGGCAGGAGAGGCGGGGCGCAGGGCAGGAGAGGCGGGGCGCAGGGCAGGAGAGGCGGGGCGCAGGGCAGGAGAGGCGGGGCGCAGGGCAGGAGAGGCGGGGCGCAGGGCAGGAGAGGCGGGGCGCAGGGCAGGAGAGGCGGGGCGCAGGGCAGGAGAGGCGGGGCGCAGGGCAGGAGAGGCGGGGCGCAGGGCAGGAGAGGCGGGCGCAGGGCAGGAGAGGCGGGGCGCAGGGCAGGAGAGGCGGGGCGCAGGGCAGGAGAGGCGGGGCGCAGGGCAGGAGAGGCGGGGCGCAGGGCAGGAGAGGCGGGGCGCAGGGCAGGAGAGGCGGGGCGCAGGGCAGGAGAGGCGGGGCGCAGGGCAGGAGAGGCGGGGCGCAGGGCAGGAGAGGCGGGGCGCAGGGCAGGAGAGGCGGGGCGCAGGGCAGGAGAGGCGGGGCGCAGGGCAGGAGAGGCGGGGCGCAGGGCAGGAGAGGCGGGGCGCAGGGCAGGAGAGGCGGGGCGCAGGGCAGGAGAGGCGGGGCGCAGGGCAGGAGAGGCGGGGCGCAGGGCAGGAGAGGCGGGGCGCAGGGCAGGAGAGGCGGGGCGCAGGGCAGGAGAGGCGGGGCGCAGGGCAGGAGAGGCGGGGCGCAGGGCAGGAGAGGCGGGGCGCAGGGCAGGAGAGGCGGGGCGCAGGGCAGGAGAGGCGGGGCGCAGGGCAGGAGAGGCGGGGCGCAGGGCAGGAGAGGCGGGGCGCAGGGCAGGAGGAGAGGCGGGGCGCAGGGCAGGAGAGGCGGGGCGCAGGGCAGGAGAGGCGGGGCGCAGGGCAGGAGAGGCGGGGCGCAGGGCAGGAGAGGCGGGGCGCAGGGCAGGAGAGGCGGGGCGCAGGGCAGGAGAGGCGGGGCGCAGGGCAGGAGAGGCGGGGCGCAGGGCAGGAGAGGCGGGGCGCAGGGCAGGAGAGGCGGGGCGCAGGGCAGGAGAGGCGGGGCGCAGGGCAGGAGAGGCGGGGCGCAGGGCAGGAGAGGCGGGGCGCAGGGCAGGAGAGGCGGGGCGCAGGGCAGGAGAGGCGGGGCGCAGGGCAGGAGAGGCGGGGCGCAGGGCAGGAGAGGCGGGGCGCAGGGCAGGAGAGGCGGGGCGCAGGGCAGGAGAGGCGGGGCGCAGGGCAGGAGAGGCGGGGCGCAGGGCAAAAAGAGGCGGGGCGCAGGGCAGGAGAGGCGGGGCGCAGGGCAGGAGAGGCGGGGCGCAGGGCAGAGAAAGTGAGGGCAGGAGGAGTGGCACAGATGAGGAGTGATGGACAGGGCCCAGGCAAGCAGGCAGGCACACACAGACGGCAAGGAGAGCAGTAGAAAGAGCAGCAGGGAGCAGAACTGACAGCGAAGAGGGTGGCGTTGTTAGCCTCCTGTCGGTAATCGAGCTCGCCATACAGCCCCCTCCCAAACTCGTCCGCCAACGCTGCCAGGTCCGTGTTTATTCCCGCCACGCGCCTCACTGCCCGCAGCTGAAAGGGGTGGAAGGGGGGCAGGGGAGGGAGGGGAAAGGGAGTGACGGCACAGAACAGAAGCAGGCATGTGAGATGGTGCGCAAGGTGAGGGAAGTGAGAGTAGGCAATGGGTGTGACAGGTGAACACATAGGCAAAGAGCACGCAAAACGGAGAAGAGAGGGCTGACCAGCATGCGCAGGATGTGGATGTCTCTGGCGACGAGGAAGAGCACTCGCGGCCGCTGCACCTTCACCGCCACTCGCATGCCGTCCCGTGTTCGCCCCTTGTACACCTGTGGTGGTGGGTGGGTGGGGACACATACCGGCACATGGATACATGATCTTGGCGGGTGAAGGCATGGGGGCGCGTGCGTGCAATAGCAAAGCACAAAGCAGTGCTTCTGCCACCCGACACACCTTCCCTGCCGCCACTTGTGCTGCTGCGCTCCTGCTCCCTCGCTCTCACCTGCCCAAAACCCGAAACCCACACCTCCTGCGCTCTCAGCTCACCTGCCCGAATGAAGCCGCTGCAACGGGCGTGGGCGAGAGCAGGGGGAAGAGCGCAGCAGCGGGGCGGCCCAGCTCCCTCTCGATGACGGCCATGGCGTCTTCCGAGGGGAACGCTGGTAGACGGTCCTGCAGCTCTGCCAATACCTGGGGTTGGGGGAGGGGGATTAGGCATGGCACAAGGGTGTGAGAGCTGGGACACCCCAGTCGAGCTCCCTCTCCATGACGGCCATGGCATCTTCTGATGGGAACGCTGGTAGACGGTCCTGCAGCTCTGCCAATACCTGGGGTTGGGGGAGGGGGATTAGGCATGGCACAAGGGTGTGAGAGCTGGGACACCCCAGTCGAGCTCCCTCTCCATGACGGCCATGGCATCTTCTGATGGGAACGCTGGTAGACAGTCCTGCAGCTCTGCCAATACCTGGGGTTGGGGGAGGGGGATTAGGCATGGCACAAGGGTGTGAGAGCTGGGACACCCCAGTCGAGCTCCCTCTCCATGACGGCCATGGCATCTTCTGATGGGAACGCTGGTAGACGGTACTGCAGCTCTGCCAATACCTGGGGTTGGGGGAGGGGGATTAGGCATGGCACAAGGGTGTGAGAGCTGGGACACCCCAGTCGAGCTCCCTCTCCATGACGGCCATGGCATCTTCTGATGGGAACGCTGGTAGACGGTCCTGCAGCTCTGCCAATACCTGGGGTTGGGGGAGGGGGATTAGGCATGGCACAAGGGTGTGAGAGCTGGGACACCCCAGTCGAGCTCCCTCTCCATGACGGCCATGGCATCTTCTGATGGGAACGCTGGTAGACGGTCCTGCAGCTCTGCCAGTACCTGGGGTTGGGGGAGGGGGATTAGGCATGGCACAAGGGTGTGAGAGCTGGGACACCCCAGTCGAGCTCCCTCTCCATGACGGCCATGGCATCTTCTGATGGGAACGCTGGTAGACGGTCCTGCAGCTCTGCCAGTACCTGGGGTTGGGGGAGGGGGATTAGGCATGGCACAAGGGTGTGAGAGCTGGGACACCCCAGTCGAGCTCCCTCTCCATGACGGCCATGGCATCTTCTGATGGGAACGCTGGTAGACGGTCCTGCAGCTCTGCCAATACCTGGGGTTGGGGGAGGGGGATTAGGCATGGCACAAGGGTGTGAGAGCTGGGACACCCCAGTCGAGCTCCCTCTCCATGACGGCCATGGCATCTTCTGATGGGAACGCTGTTAGACGGTCCTGCAGCTCTGCCAATACCTGGGTTTGGGGGAGGGGGATTAGGCATGGCACAAGGGTGTGAGAGCTGGGACACCCCAGTCGAGCTCCCTCTCCATGACGGCCATGGCATCTTCTGATGGGAACGCTGGTAGACGGTCCTGCAGCTCTGCCAATACCTGGGGTTGGGGGAGGGGGATTAGGCATGGCACAAGGGTGTGAGAGCTGGGACACCCCAGTCGAGCTCCCTCTCCATGACGGCCATGGCATCTTCTGATGGGAACGCTGGTAGACGGTCCTGCAGCTCTGCCAGTACCTGGGGTTGGGGGAGGGGGATTAGGCATGGCACAAGGGTGTGAGAGCTGGGACACCCCAGTCGAGCTCCCTCTCCATGACGGCCATGGCATCTTCTGATGGGAACGCTGGTAGACGGTCCTGCAGCTCTGCCAGTACCTGGGGTTGGGGGAGGGGGATTAGGCATGGCACAAGGGTGTGAGAGCTGGGACACCCCAGTCGAGCTCCCTCTCCATGACGGCCATGGCATCTTCTGATGGGAACGCTGGTAGACGGTCCTGCAGCTCTGCCAATACTTGGGGTTGGGGGAGGGGGATTAGGCATGGCACAAGGGTGTGAGAGCTGGGACACCCCAGTCGAGCTCCCTCTCCATGACTGCCATGCCATCTTCTGATGGGAACGCTGGTAGACGGTCCTGCAGCTCTGCCAATACCTGAGAAGTGAAGGTGGGACCGGGGTGGGAAGGGAGAGGGGGGGTAGGCACAGCACAAGGATGTGAGAGGTGGAGCTGGAGGGGCAGGAACCTGCACCTCAACAAGCTTCCTCTTTAACACCAACATGGCGTCCTGCGATGGGAACGCTGGTAGGCGATCCTGCAGCTCTGCCAATACCTGGTGGGGGGAGGGTAGTTAGGCGCAACACAAGGATGTGAGAGGCGGAGTGGCAGGAACTCACACCTTAGTCGAGCTCCCTCTCGATGACAGGCGGTCCTGTAGCTCTGCTAGCACCTGCTGGATGAGGGGGAGACGGGGGGGGAGGAGTGGGGAGAGACAGGGGAGGGGAGGGAGGAGGGGTGGGATGGAGGGAAGACGGGACTCAAGCGCAACACAAAGACGTGCGGCCAGGGGACGGATCATGAGTCGCGGGGACAGGGGGGTGAGGGAGGAAAAGGGAGTTGGACTGAAACGAGCATCAGCCACCCGAGCCTTCACAGCTTTGCAGGAACGAGAACCCCAGGCCCGAACTACAAAAACCTCCCAACAACCCCCCCCCACACTCCCTCTTGACGGCCCTTCCCCCGCACACACTTGTTTTCCCACGCCCCTGCCTCTCACCTTGGCAGTGTCTGGCCCCACCACGTCCGGCCGTGCTGACAGCGACTGCGCCACTGGGGACAGGAGGGAGGGAGTAGGGGTGAAGGGGCCGGGAGGTCGGAGAGGAGGAGAGGATGGTGGGATGAGTGGTACTGGAGGGTAGAGGGAAGGGAATGCATGGTTCCGGGGGCACAGCTCAGGTGCATTCCTCGGGTGACATGGTGACGGTGGCAGCTGTGGGGGCTTGCATGAGGAGGGATGTGCGTGCGCACCCTACCTTTGATGAAGGTGGGGCGGGCATGAGACATGGGGCATGATGTGAGGTGGGTGCCCCTCTCACCCTTTATGAACGTGGGCCCGAGGCGCAGCAGCGTGCGCTTGAGTTTGAGTGCGCTGTGCTGGCGGATAGCTGCGATGCGCTCGTCCCCCGCACTCACTCCCCCCGCCTCCCTCGCCCGTATGGCGCCCGTGTCCCGAGCCACCTGCACCCACGTCGCTGCTAGTAGCACTGATATCTGTGTGGGTGACGTTAGAGGGAGGCAGCGAGGGGTAGTGGGCAAGTGTGGCAGAGCAGGCGAGCAGCAAAAGTTAAGAGCAGCAACTCAATGCCTGTATGGCGCCTTTATCCCTTGCCACCTGCACCCACGTCGCTGCCAGCAGCACTAATATCTGTGTGAGGAGGGAGGGCAATGGGGACCAGTGGGGAAGGGGAGGGCGGGCGAGGGTGTGATAGTAGAAGGGGTGACAGTGAGAAAGAGCGTGGGGCAGTGGGGGGAAGAGGGGGAAGCGGGGGGCAGTGGGAGAGAGTGTGGGCCATTCATGGTTACGGTTTGAGCAATGCAGCTAGTCCATCCATGTGCATGCCCACGGGCGCAACTTGAGGGTGCGCAGGAGCACGATGTGGCGAGTGAGGGAAAGTGTGGGTCAGTGGGGGTGAGAGGGGGTGAGAGGGGGAAGCACCCATGCGCATGGCCCACGGGCGCACCTTGAGGGTGCGCAGGAGCACGATGTGCGGGCGGCGGTTGAAGTAGTGTGCCACGTCAGCAGGGTCGTACTCGTACTGCAGCGGAACGCGCCAGCTCTCCGCCCACCACCGCGCCACCTCCCCCAGCGCGCGCACGTACCTCGCGTCCCCCGCCAGTATCCCGCGCGCGCTCGCCCGCGCGGACGCTGCGCGGGGCATACGGCGATGGAGAGGGGGGAGTGGCGGGGAGAGGCGGGGGGAAGGGAGAAAGGGATTGAGGCAGACGCGGGCGCCGTGAGGGCTAGAAGGTGCGATACGCGCTGTAGCAATGTGAGCAAGTGCGCGACGGACTGGCGGGGCAATTGCGCAGCGGGATAGCGGAACGGGTGCGCAGCGGGACCGCGGGGAGCGAATGCGCGCGCACCGGGGTATTTGGGCGGAAGCGGAGGCATGGGCCGGCGGACGGCGGTCTCGTCTTCGAGGAAGCGCAGCTCGACGACGTCGCGCACCCACCCCGCCCACGACCAGTGCGACAAAAAGCTATCCTCCTCCTCCTCCTCTTCCCCTTCCCCTTCGAAACCTGCTTCCTCCGCCGCCGATCGCTCCCGCGTCGCCCTCTCGTCGTCACTTAACTCCTTCAATATCTCTTCTGCGCTCGTCTCCCGCCCTTCCGCTGCCCTCCGCGCCGATCCGTCCCCGCGCGCGGTCTGCGCCGATCGTTCCCCGGCCAGTCCCGCGTCTGTTCGTCTCTCGCTCGAGCCGCCCTCCGATGCAGTCGTCGCTTCCACGACCGGGCTCGCCCTGGCTTGACACGTGGCATCGGGCCGCGGAGACACCGATGGTTGAGGCAACGATGGACTAAAGAGCGATGGGTACTGAACACCACGCATTCGGCTTCCTGAACTTAATCTACTCGCATTACGCTTCCGATTTTCGTGTAGAGACGACGACGCTACGGCAGACTGCCGTTGTGCACTCCGATGCGGCTGCGAACCGCCTTCTAGTCGCGGCGCGGTCCCTCGTGCCTGGAGCGGATCCCATACTGCTTGCCGCAATCGACGGCGCGGCGCGAGCAGGCCGCGTGGTTCTATGCAGGGAGCGCGGCTCACGGACAGCGTTACTCCGACGCGGTCGTGCATTGCGCTCGCCGTAGCGGATATCAGTACTCGAGAGGAAAACAATGCACGGGTATCGCGAGGTATCAGTGAACACCTAGCCTTACAATCGATCGTCACGGCTTCAGACTCGGCATGCTCGAACAAGCTCCTGTCATCGCTAATGCTGGAGATGCGTTAATAGCTCCCAACTTCGTAACGCGTATAAGCTGCTGCTGATTATGCTATCACGCACCATGCAGTCTCTAGACCGTGCAATGCAACCTCGATGGATGGAATCTAGGAGCCCGCTGCGGAACGCGGTGGGCCACAGGGTGGTGGCGCGGCCTGACACGTGTCAAACGTGAAGTGGCACGAACTGCCAATCGACCAGTCTGTTCCGCCTGATAGGGCATATATAAATCCGATAAACGCGCCATAGTGTACACATATTTTACACTCTAACATATAAGCAAACAGCCCACTCAGAACTAACTATGGGACCTTGAAAAATCGTTTGATCGACATCTGGTTGCCAGCTTCAAAAACCTCAGATTCCATTTTTCTACGCTTAGGCGCCATTCCAGAACCCTTTGCCCCTTTAGCATGTCGTTTCGTAGACACAGGAGATCTTAGCTTGGAAGAAGTGACGGTCGCAGCAACAGGGGAAGCAGAAGCAGGACCTGGTGGGTGCTGCTCGGACTGTGAGGAGGATTGAGAAGCGTGGGTGCGCATATCCTGGGGAATAGGTGTCACAGGGACCAGCACTTCAGCCAAGCCTCTCTCACTGCACCGCTCACCACCACCCTCTTCTTTCTCATTGCCACTGGAACCATCCTTGGCTTGCTCCTCACTCGCCCCATCACCTACATTAGCCCGAGCCCCAGCCTCCACTGGTGCTTCCTGCACCCCCGCCGGCTGTTTCTCCTCCTGTATACTGCCTCCCTCCTCACTTTTCACTTCGTGCCCTTCTCTCTCTGCACCTCCTCCTGTCTCCGCTTCTTGCCTGTCCACCCCTCCTGTGCACACCACATCAGTGGGTGGCGGTTTTTGTCTCTTGCGAGCGAAGAGCTGGGTGATTGGGGTGGATGCGAGCGCCGGCTTCAATGCAATCTGCACAGCAGCGGGCAGTGGGAGAATGGGGGGCAACCATACGGGGTGCAGCAGACACACCAGTCCAGATACGGCAAAACAAGTGGCAGTTAGAGGAACAATGCCTGCCGGCCATCTGCTTCCTCCCAGCCCACCAGGCAACCAGTAATGGTGAATCTACCCCCATCCCCTTCCTCTACCCAACCATGCACCCATCCCCCTTCTCCCTCCCGCCCATCCCTTAGCATTTGCGTGATCTCACCGGCTGCACACACTGCGGGCCGTCGAAGGCCGGCTTGCCCACTTCTGGCGTCACTGCGTGCCACACCTGCCACGCGGGGGAGGTGAGCGGGGTTAAAGGGGGGAGGGGGGAGACGGTGATCAAGATAGAGCCGTGCAAAATAGAGCAGAACGGACAGGCAGGCAGGCAGGCGGGCAGGCAGGCAGAGAAGGATGGGACGAGGGCAACAGCAGGAGAGTGGTATGGTACGGACCAGGTCGGGGTGGTTGTAGGGCGAGCAGCACTGGGTGATGGCGTCAGGCCCTGAGAGCTTGCCGTGCAGCCATGCTGTGATGTGGTGCTGTGATGGCAGGATGGCCGGCAAGCGGTCTGATGGGGGAGAGGGGAGAGTGAACGGGTGAGCAGTGCACAGCTAAGGGAGAAGCTTGATGAGTGGATTCGGGCATGCAATGAAAGGTGTGATGGGACGACGAAAAGCATGCGGCCTGATGGCAGGCAGGAAGGGCGGGGGGGAAAGGCGATCAGCGCACAGCAAGGGGAAACGAGGTGAAGCTCAAAGAGTGAGGGTGGCACGGCAGGGGCGGCAGGGGGTCAGGCTGGGAGGGAAGGAGGGCAGCTAGCCTCACCATGTAACCATGTTAGCATGAGTGGGAATGGGTGGTGGTTGTGTCACCATGTAATGTAACCATGTTACCATGGTGGAAGTGGGTGGTGGTTGGCTCACCATGCAGCCACTGCAGGCGCTGTGAAGCCGCCGTTGTGACTATTGTGAAGGTGAACAGTCGCTCGCCTGCCGTTGCAGCGAAAAAGGCATCAGGAACGACAGCCAGATGAAGTGTCGAGGGAGTGAGGAAAGAGATGGCGAAACGCATAGATTGAGGAGTGTAAATGGGTGGAAGCGAGCTACTCTTGTGCGTGTGGAAGTGCATGAATAGACTTGAACAAGGACAACTCCATTCAGCAAAAGGTCCTGCCGTTCTCGCCCCTCCACGCACAATTGTGCCTTGTCGGCTCACCCCCAACCGTGTGCAATACCCCTTCTCCCCCTCTCACCTTGTGCGTCACGCCAGCAGTCAAACAGTCCCGCCATCACCATCGGCCTCCCTCCGTTCCCCCGACTCATTGCGCTTGCTGTCTCCCCCAGCCCCCCACCGTGCATGTCTTACCAACCCCCCCACCTCTCACCCTGCGCGTTGTTCCAGCAGTCAAACAGCCCGGCCATCACCATTCCCCTCCCCACCCCTTTCCCCCACTCTTTGTGCTTGTTGCCTCCCCTTCCCCCGTCCCCAACTCACCCTGCGCATCACGCCAGCAGTCAAACAGCCCGGCCATCACCATCGGCCTTTCCCCGTTCCCCTCACTGGCTGCGCTTGCTGTCTTCCCCAGCCCCCCACCATGCTTGTCATTCCCCCCCACCCCACCAACTCACCCTGCGCGTCACGCCAGCAGTCAAACAGCCCCGCCATCACCATCGGCCTCCCGTCACTCATGTGGATGTAGAACGGCTGCTTCTTGGAACCTTCCTTCTTCCACTCGTAGAACCTGGCATCGGGAGAGGGGTAGGATGGAGGAGTGAGAAGGCATCCCATGTTAAACTGACTGCAGGTAGTATCTGCATCCTTCCCACGCCCCTCATACCTCCCATGCCTTCTCACTCCCCACGCGCCTCACCCCTTCTCACCCCCTCACATCCCTTGCACCCCTCTCTCTCACCCCTCCCACCCTCCCTCTCAACCCTCCCACCATTTCTCTCACCCCTCCCCCCCACCCCTCTCTCTCACACCTTCCCCCCACCCCTCTCTCTCACACCTTCCCCCCACCCCTCTCTCTCACACCTTCCCCCCACCCCTCTCTCTCACACCTCCCCTCCCACCCCTGTCGCTCACCCCTCCAGCAGCACGACGCAGCGCTGGGAGGGCAGCAGGCGGCAGAAGGATGGCTTGGCGTGCAGCGACTCACACCGCGCATTGAACTGGGTGTTGGGGGGGGGGGGGGGGGGGGGGGGGGGGGGGGGGGTGGCGGGGAAGAGGAGGTGGGGGGTGAGGGACAGGGGGAAAGACGGGTGGGGGTGAGAAGGCGGAAGGACGGTTTGGCGTGCAGCGACTCACAGCGCGCGTTGAACTGGGTGGTTGGAGAGGCGAGCAAGGGGGGAAGGGGGGAGCAAGGTGTGGGGAAAGAGGTGAGTGAGGGGGAAGGAGAGAGGAGGTTGCGGGGAGAAAGCGGAGAGGAGGGGACGAGGGGGTAAGGAGAATTGGGAAATAGACAGGAAAGAATTGGGGGAAGAGGGACAGCTGGCACATGAAGCGAGTCACTGCATTTCACGCCAATGTGTGCATTGATTGACCGTCATCCCCATGGCCAACTTCCCACCCCGACCACACCAACCGTCACACCACCATGCGCAAGTGGTCGCTCGCGCGGCTCACAGCACTGCGTGATGGACCCCCATCCCCATTAACTGCCCACCCCCATCCCCATCCCCACCCCCACCCCCACCCCCACCCCCACCCCCACCCCATCCCCACCCCCACCCCCACCCCCACCCCCACCCCCACCCCCACCCCCACCACCATCACACCATGCGGAAGTGGTCGGGCGGCTGTGCCTTGCTGCAGAACGACGGCACCAGCCCCCACTTCATCACCTGCACCTCCCGCTCTTCCCCCTCCGCCTGCCCCTTCCGCTCCCCCTCCGCCTGCTCCCATTGCGCCTGCCCCTTCCCCTCCCGTTTCCCCTCCGCCTGCCCCTTCCGCTCCTCCTCAGCCTGCTCCTCCCCTTCTCCCTCCGCTTGATGTTCCTGCTCCGCTTCTCCCCCCTTCACTCTCTCTTCCCCGGCCTCCTCCTGCGCGCGCCCCTCTTCGTGGGCCTCTTCCGCCTCCGCGCAGCTCTCCGCGGCTCCTTCCGATTCCGCAGGGGCCAACTTGGCGGAAGCGGAAGCAGCGTGCTGGGAGGCGGACGGGGTGGCGGAAGCGGCGGCGCGGACGACGGGCAGAAAGGTGCCGGGCGCGACGTTGAAGGATGGGCGGAACCTGTCGGCGCGCGGAGCACAGACAAGCGCGGGCGCAGAGGCGGGCACATGCTATGAGTTGCGGGAGACGGCGCATGAGCCACGCGGCGCGCTGAATAAGCTAATGAAACGATGCGCGATGCGACAACGAAGCGACGTGAGCGACGACGACCGGTAAACGAGACGAGAGCGAGTAAAGAGAGGAACGTAGGCACCGCGGTGCGCCTGCTTCTCCGTGAGCCATGCCAGATCGAGATTCGAGAAATATGGGGGAAAGGGGTGCATGTCGCTTAAAAACGAGGCGATGGAGGCAAGAGTCGCGGATCACGCACAGATGCTGGTCGCGCCAGTCGGGCCGCGCGCCGGTCGCGCGTGTGACCGCGTCTGGCGACAGCGTGCAACGCGCGCGCCCGCACATCGCGGCGACGTCTGAACCGACCGCCTAAGGAAATAGAGACGGAGGACGAAATCGTCAACCGCGTTGGCTGGAAATCTAAGAAATCGCCGTCTTGATTAGAAAGAGTGGATTGGCGAAGCCGTCGCAATCGTCTGTCAGTTTCAAATTTCAACCTGGGCGACACGGTTGTGTGCTACACTGCTGCCTGGTGTGATGTCGTCAAGGTGACGGCACGTCGGGGAAGGATTCTGTTCTGGCCGAGACAGTTGCAGAATTGGCGCCAAGCTTCTTTTGTTCCTGTGGCGGGGAAGTGAGAACGTGGGTGGTGGTGGTGGTGGCGACTGTATTGCCCCTGACTATGATCCGCTTTAGAGGAATTCAGTGTGAATCGTTACAGCGGATATCGGAAAGGCTCCGATGGATAGAGGTTATGGTTTCCCACTTCAGGCCCAAGTCGAAATCATAAACCCCAGGTAACTCAAACTAACGCGGCGATGAATTTCTCATTCCTAACGCGTACATCAAATTCCTTGTTTCCCATTTCCGGCGTGCTCTGCCATTTTGTGGCGTGCTTGGCGGCGTTCTTCCCGGGACCTGGCGTGCGGAAAGTCGGTGCGGGAGGTGATTGCGCGGAAGAGCGCGTTGCGCGCGCGGATAGGACGTGCAGGTGCAGGTAATCTCGCGACCAGCACGTGCATCTAGCGCTGGCGAGGAGTCGTAGATCCGCGACAGTCTTCGAGAGTCGTAGGCAGTTGGCGATAGTCGGCGAAAGCCAGCGACGCAAGTGTCAAAAGTCGGAACGGATCGAGAACTTGAGACGGCGCGGTAGAGCATTCGGCGAAAAAAAAATGTGTATCTATTCCCAGCTCGAAAAATATTTGAGGAATGTCCGCGTTTGACGGTAGAGAATGAAAGCCAGGAGACGCGAGTGGTCTTCGCAGTGGGGACGAGCCGATGCGTCACCGAAGGCAGGGTGTCTTGTGGGGCCGCCTGGGTCTATCATTACAGAGCTTGCATTTTGCAATGGCTTGCGTAGCCCATCCAAACTGCGCATTTCCCTCTCTGCCCTGCGCCAACCTCCCCCATCCGCTGACCCTTGAAGCAAATACCCTCTCCCCCGCTCCTCGCTCCCCCTTCCCCTGCGCCAGGCGCGGCGTCATGGCGTCACGCGCGCAGCAGCTGCGGGGGATGCTGGGCCGCACAAGGCGGGCGTGCGCCGTTTCACGGGATTCGTTGCTCTCTGCCACGTGGCATCTCGCGGTTGCGCCGTACGCATCACTGTTAACTACTAGGCCCGCGCATAGCGCAGCAGCACCTAGCGCCGCGGGGAATGCAGCAGCAGCTGGTGGACCAGCAGGCGCAGCAGCACAGGCGGCGGCGCAGTCTTCTTTCCTACAGTCATTTGAGGCCGTTGGTGTGCATCTACAGCTGCAAGCATCCGCACCCGTTAGCCTGCGGTCCCTGGGAGTTTTACACTGCACTTCCCAGTCATCCCTACCCCCCAATGCTCTTCCCCCGTCCCCCGCCCACATGCTGCTCTGTAAACCATGGGGGGTACAGCCTCAGCAGCCCCTGAGTGGATTGCCTTGGGTGAAGCTGGTTGTGGGTGGGAGAGGTACGACTCACTGTCAGCCAGTCGCTGCCTTTCACTCGTGCGCGCAGCCACAGAAGTTGAGCGCCGAGCTGCTCCTCCGCCTGCCACGTGGCATGCAGCCGTTGGTGCTGCGACCAGTGGAAGCAGCAACCGGAGTGCAGCAGGTGAGGTGGGGCTGGGTGGGATAAGGTGGTGTGGGATGGGGTGGGGTGGGATGCAGCAGCTATGTAGGGTGCCTCTGGCTGATTATAGGTTTGGATAGCAGGGAGGTGGGTTGAGTGTGAAAGGTCAGGGCACACATCCAGATTTGGCCCCACCAGGCATGCCCCACCATGCGATGCCCCACCATACGATGCAACACCATGCCATGCCCCCCCACCATACGATGCCCCACCATGCGATGCCCCACCATGCGATGCCCCACCATGCACCGTGCCCCACCATGCGTGCTATGCCCCACCATGCGTGCTATGCCCCACCATGCGTGCTATGCCCCACCATGCGTGCTATGCCCCACCATGCGTGCTATGCTCCACCATGCGTGCTATGCCCCACCATGCGTGCTATGCTCCACCATGCATGCTATGCTCCAAGTACACATTGTACCCATCGCCCACTCGCGCCCCCCAACCCCATCTAATGCTTCCAATGCTTCCCCTGCAGCAGCATCGGTGCTACGCCAGCAGCACACATGGCAGCAGCAACAAGGACAGCGGCAGCAGTGGCGGCAGCAGTGGCGGCAGCAGTGGCGGCAGCAGCTGGCGGGAGGTGGTAAGGCAGGAGGAGGAGGACGTGTTCAGCAGCATCACCGACAAGTTTCCCCAACGCCCCATGTCCGCTGCTATGCATGCCATGGCCCGGCTCCCAAGCTGCACACTGTACCCACCACCCACACGCTCTCTCCCCCACCCCCTCTCTCTCCCCCCAATTCCTTCCTGCAGCAGCATCGGTGGTATGCCACACAGGGCGGCAGCAGCAGCAGGGGCAATGAGGGAGGCAGCAGCAGGCGGGAGGTGGTACGGCAGGAGGAGGAGGACGTGTTCAGCAGCATCACCGACAAGATCCCTGAACGCCCCGTCTCCGCCGCCGAGGGCGCGTCGTACTCCATCGTCATCCTCGCAGCGCTGGCTGTGGCGGCCGGGGCGGCGTATTTTGTTGTCAAGGAGCTGCTGCTGGAGCCCAAGGAGTGCGTCTGCAAACATGGGGAGGGGAAGTGTGGGAGAAGGAATGGAGGGGTTGCGGATCGCTTGCTTTGCATGTCATTGTGAAAGCATGCGCCTGCGAATTGGCTGTGAGAGGGGTGATGTACTTGGGTACCGCATGTTCATGCCTTGAATTGACGGACTCGTGTGCTTGCTATGCTGCAGATACAAGGTGTTTAATAAGGCCCTTCAGCGCGTGCAGAACGACCCTCAGGTGCGCCCCACATCCGTTTGCGCACATCTTCTTCTGTGCACACCTACAAAGCTGCACAGAACTTTTCACTCTACACTTGACAAATGCTTTCCCAGCTTGTAGCACGTGCTTCAGCTGTTCATTCCCGCCCCATCTCCTGTTTGATATTTGCTCTCCAATGATTCCATCCACTCGCTTATGCTCCATGTGCATGCCATGGAACTGAATCATGCTCTGCCTCGTCATGTGCATCAGGTGATATCACGGCTGGGGTCTCCAATCACGGGGTACGGCCAGGAGAGCCGCAACCGGGCGGCACGGCAGCGAATCAGCCACCGCGTGTGGACGGATGAAGAAGGGGTGGAGCGGATCCAGGTACACCTTGTATGCTGGACCCTGGTGCACAGGTTCCTTTCATTTCGTTATTTACTTGAGTTTGGTCGCTCGTTGTGGTGTCGCATATCGTCGAGCTGTGTTCCATTGTCCTGCCATCTGTTTGGTGTGCTCACCTGTGGCAGGTTCAATTCCACATCCGAGGTACAGGGGGCACGGGCCTTGTACACGCTGAGATGTTCAAAGACAGTGATGATGGCGGAGCTTGGAAATTCACGTACCTTCTGGTTGATGTAACGAACCCATCTCCAGCAAGGCTCATGTTGGAATCATACGTTCCAACATGACCGCATTATGTTCGTGACAGGTAGAGGTAGCGTGCTTGCGTGTAACATTAGAGGATCCCCTATGTGGAGTATTGGAAATATGACGACGTATGGAATGCTCAATCTCAACCTAATGAAGATTACTACATGCTTGTGCGTTTGGGTGGTTGTTACGCGTATGACCCCGTTTGTTGACCGCAATTCAACAACATCCACTCGCCACCACATTCAAAAAATTGGAGCACACTCATTCTGTGGCTGAAACAGCACCTGCCAGCCACCAAAACTCCTGGATTGACTCTTCGTGTCGCACTGGAATTTCGCCCCTCAAATTTTCAACAAACCCCGCCAAACCGGCATCTCGACCTGACAGTGCCACCGTGGCATCCCTGACCCCGACGCCAATAAAAATCCCCGCGGCTCGCTGGTGCCGTGAGTGTCTGTCGCCAGAGCAATTCGAACATCGCTTCCCCCTGGGCTGGTCGCGGCTCGTAACTTCCCCCTCATCGCGAACCGGATGTGTGTAGCTCAGAGACCATCTTCCCCCATCTCTCTCCGCCTGCCCCCCATATCCCTCTCATGATTGGCCCAAGTCTCCGCAGAAGCCCCAGTGTGGCGGACCTATTGGGCATTTATCTTGGCGATAACACTCATCGGGCTCGATTGCACGCGAGTTAAGCCACGTGTCTAAATCGTAACAAAAGTATCTTCTGGTTGCCTACATGGTAACCAACATTGCACATCTGGTCACCATTTTTTCCAGACTGGTAATGAACAGTGCATTCCGATTTCCAAACTGGTAACTCGTCGAAACAACCGTGATATACACCGTACGTACCTCGTATGACTCGGATTTGAACGTACAACACAACCAAGCTCCAGTCACAGCATAATTCCCTTGCCCAAATCGTCCCGCTACCTCCGAACCCTAATCACACCAACAAGTTAGTTGTCACCCTCGTGAGCGCTGATCTGTCGACTATGGAGCGCAGCGCCCCATATAGGTATGTTTCCGACCCGTGGTCTTCACGCCGTATTCATTGTAGTGTGCCCTTATATTTCCGTACACGAGCATGGCGCCGCAATCAGCGCTGCGCCATGCAGCCAAGTCATGGCGCAGCCCACAAATGCGCCATGCCAAGGCATGGCGCCACAATCGGGGCTGCGCCATGCAGCCAAGGCATGGCGCAGCCCGCAAATGCGCCCGCAAATGCGCCATGCCAAGGCATGGCGCCACAATCGGGGCTGCGCCATGCAGCCAAGGCATGGCGCAGCCCGCAAATGCGCCATGCCAAGGCATGGCGCCACAATCGGGGCTGCGCCATGCAGCCAAGGCATGGCGCAGCCCGCAAATGCGCCATGCCAAGGCATGGCGCCACAATCGGGGCTGCGCCATGCAGCCAAGGCATGGCGCAGCCCGCAAATGCGCCATGCCAAGGCATGGCGCCACAATCGGGGCTGCGCCATGCAGCCAAGGCATGGCGCAGCCCGCAAATGCGCCATGCCAAGGCATGGCGCCACAATCGGGGCTGCGCCATGCAGCCAAGGCATGGCGCAGCCCGCAAATGCGCCATGCCAAGGCATGGCGCCACAATCGGGGCTCCGCCATGCAGCCAAGGCATGGCGCAGCCCGCAAATGCGCCATGCCAAGGCATGGCGCCACAATCGGGGCTCCGCCATGCAGCCAAGGCATGGCGCAGCCCGCAAATGCGCCATGCCAAGGCATGGCGCCACAATCGGGGCTGCACCATGTAGCCAAGGCATGGCGCAGCCCCCAAATGCGCCATGCCAAGGCAAGGCGCCACACTCGGGGCTGCGCCATGCAGCCAAGGCATGGCGCAGCCCGCAAATGTGCCATGCATGTAGCAATGTTTGCAACATTTTTATGTCTCGTTCGTTCATTTTTAGGGCATGGCGCAGCAGGCGGACCAACAGCGGGCGGTTCAGCAGCGCGTGTGGCTGCAGCAGATGGGTATGCATTGGCAGGGAGTTAGCGTCTCTATGCCGGAGTCAGGGATTGCCACATCTTATAATGTGGGTGGCATGTATAGAGGGGTTGACACACCACGAGAAGGGTTGTACTGGCAATACCCATGGACTGTGCCCATCCAGTCACACATGAATCAGCAATGGCCATCGTATGGAGCGCCATTCCACCCCATACAAGTTGCGGACGGTGGTGCTGCAGGTGGACAAGGTGGAATTGAATTCTCTGCAGAACAGGTTGAAGAACATGAGTAGACCCACTGTTGAGCTAAAGCTCATGCATTCATCGTGAACAACAGATCGCCATGATCTCAAGCATTTTGGGCTTGTAGTGACTAAAGGGGGGTTCCAACACATGTGCATTTTAAGTACTTTGCATGCAGTATAGGTACCTGTTTGCAATTTATATATTTTTTAACCTATAACATGGACAAAACCAGTACCCTAAACTGCACGTAATGGCAGGTATCCTACCATGCCGCATTTTATGATGTTTGTCAAATACGGTACTACGGACGGTAACATGTTTGATTTCCAGATATGTTGTTTATATTTATAAGAAACGAGTACTGCACTTGTGTAGACACAGTATTCACAATCTATTTTAATTTCGTAATCCCTAATCAACGTGTAAAAATGATTTATCGTTTTCCTATCATTTACAAATGTACAAGTTATACACGTGAAATTAGGTCATAAATGTTACAATGCGAAGCAAATATCCATACCATATTTCGTTTTGCCGAGTCATACAAGGTACGTACGGTGTACATCACGGTTGTTTCGACGAGTTACCAGTTTGGAAATCGGAATGCACTGTTCATTACCAGTCTGGAAAAAATGGTGACCAGATGTGCAATGTTGGTTACCATGTAGGCAACCAGAAGATACTTTTGTTACGATTTAGACACGTGGCTTACCTCGCGTGCAATCGAGCCCGATGAGTGTTACCGCCGAGATGAATGCCCGGACCTATTAGCAGCGTCGGGGGACAGACCAGCGGAAACTCTAGGGACCGCAGGCATGGGCGCAAGCGATCAGAACGGCTTGATGCGCGGATGGATGCCCGTCAGGCGTCAACGACGACATCAGGCGAGGCACGGCAGTCCCAGGGGCAGACAGAGCAGGCAGTTGGGTTTCGGCTCAGACAGAACCCGCAGAGACGAACAACGGAGCGCGTCGCTTGCGCTGTCGCCGTCGACTACTTTTGATGCTTCGAGAATTCGCAGTGCGACCGCTGGTGGTGGAGGCGTGCTGTGTGGCGTCGTGCCTTTGGCACAGCGTTTGGTCCTTGCAGAGCAGCCATGGTCAGGAACACGCAGCTTGGCAACTCCCTAGTGTAGGCATGCTCTGTGCTTCATGTGGGATACAGTCAAAACGAAATCTTGGACGCTATCTCCTTCGTGAGGGGTATTGTCGCAGGAGTGACATCGCTCAGTCAACGGAACCACCCTTTTGCCAGTTGATATTCGAAATGCACAACATTCAGCTAAAAAGCATTTGCTTTTGCGACTTCCCCTCCAGTAATAGCTCGAACAGCAAGCAGTCTGGCTTGCAAATTTCCATGTAGTGCCGCTGGTCGAGCAGCGGTTGCATTTGCAGTCTCGTAACCAGTAGCTCTCATAAAGCGGCACGTTGGCAATTCAGGTAATGGGTCCTAGTATCGCCAGCCCGATAACGCTCCCTGTTCCATCCATAGCACAGTCCGCCTGCAACGCTCCGCGCCCGCCGGGAGCGGGCCATAGCGACGCGCTTAGTCCTCTCCACGCCGCGTCGCTTGGCCCAGCCGCATCGCAGTCAGAGTCCATGGACGTGCGCGGGACACACGCTAGCGCTGACGTGGATCACGAGAGCAACGATCGATGGCAGCAGTGGCAGGAGGAGCGACAGCGGGAAACATCTAGCGCGCTCGAGCCGACTCCTAAAAGGCTACGCGGCTCGTACCGCTGTCGTCGCTGCGGCCAGCCTAAGAAAGGCCACGTGTGCCCGCTGACGTCACCCTCTCCCGCACCGCCGTACGCGCGTCGTCCATGTCAGTCCAATCCGCACCACGCGAACACCCACTCCCATCCGCCCAACCCCTCTTCTTCCGTCGGATGCGGCGACCCGTCGTGCGGCGGCGCGTGTGGCAACTCCCGCGACTGCGGATTCGATTCGCCCAGCGGGATCACCCGCGCGGACGTGCGCAAGCCTGCGTCATGCAGCATGGGGAACATGCAGCCGCTGCGCCTCCCCGACGCTTCCGCCGGGCCAGCGGACTCCGCCAACGCGTACACTGCGGACGGCGGACGCTCCTCCGCGTGCCAGGGCGGGCCGAACGCGCATATAAGCCTCACCGCGCCTGCGCTCACCGCATCGTGCCGCAGCCTCCCCAGGTACTGCAAAGCAGCGCGTGTTGTTGATTAGGCACACGCCATGGCATCCTTCCGTGACGAATTCCAAAAGCCGAATTTTTCTTGTCGGCGTTGCCATAATCCCGAACCCAATCTGCCGTTTTGTCGCATGTCCATGTCCGTTCCACTCATATATAGTCCACTCTGAGGCAGAGTCTCAGCGCCGGAAGTTATTACGGTAATAGATCTCATGACCATGCTCTTCCCGTCTTCATGACCCCTCTCTCCCCGTCTTCGGTCTCTGCACCCGTTCCTCCCATCCGCCAGTCGAAGCGGCTTATCGGATTCCAACTTCTCCTTTCCCGCCGCGCACACCCACGCGCACGGCAACGCGCACGGCGCAATCACCTCGAGAATGGCGCCCCACTGCGCCTCTCCGCACAGCCTTCCGCCGCTCTCCCACTCAAGCCTCCGCCCTGGTCCCCCTGGGTGAGTCCGCTATGCCCCGTTATGCCCACTCTCAATCTCAATCTTCCTCGAGTCAACTCGAGTCAACTCGGGTCTGCTTGCCGCTGGATTCCCTGCCTGTATGCGTGCCTGCCGTCTTGTTTCGCATGTTCTAACGTCGCGCACTGGTGCGTCGTGCAGGGCGAGCGGGCCGGCAGCGGCGGGTTCCGTGCGGCCAGTGGTACAGAGGAGTCCCCAGGATATGTGCATGCTCAACATCCTCGCTAAGGTACTGGCCAATATCCTGGTCAAGTTGCTTGTTCAGGCATTGGCGTCCCTATCAAACCCGTATGTCCCGCCTACAACCCGTAATTTATCATTATTTCCCACGTAATCCGAAACCTCTCCACGTCACGAGTCGCACGCGCCGCCGCTGCCCTTTTCAGCCGTCCCGCGCCCTCCTCTCACTAATCCATAATCCCCCGCGCCTCTCTCCTTTTCAGCTGCCCCCGCGCGACCTGCTGAGCGCGAGCAGCTGCTGTCGGCGGTGGCGGCGGCTAGCGGCGGAGATCTGGAGCAACGTGGAGGCGGCGGCGCTGTCGCTCGACGCGACGCCGTCGCTCGCGACGGACGCGCTCGTCTACGTGCCCTTCATGCTGCGCCGCTGCCCGCGCCTCGTGCACCTCTCGCTGCAAGCCGCTAGGTACGACCTGCTCTGCTCGCGACTCGGCTAGTCTGGTCTCGCCTCCTCTCGTTTTGTCTCGACCCAGCTGCACTGTCCTCTCTTCTCTCATCGTATCTTCTGACCCAGTTGACTATTTTTTTCTCCGCACTGGCAAGCGTGTTTCAACGGCCTCCGGTTCCCTCTGCTAGCGTAATTCTCACTCTAATCACGCCGCTTCTTCTGCTCCCTTTCCTCTCGTTCTGCTGCTCCTTCGTCGCCAGATGCGTGGACGATCGCCTGCTGCATCGCATAGCCGCCGAGCAGCCGAACCTGGAGTCGCTCGTCATTCGCACGGCGCCCAACGTCGCATGCCACGTCACGGAGTGAGTTGATTATCGCGTGCCATTTCGCGGGGTGACCCAACTTACCAGCAGTACAATCGCCGCACCGCACACGCCGCCTCCCTCCCTGATTCACCGTCTTCCCATCCTCATCTCCATTCTGCCTTTCCCTCCTTCCCTCCTCTCCCTCCACAGCAACGGCATGGCGGCGTTGCTGCATGGTTGCGCGTCGCTGCGCGCCGTGGACTTGGACGGATGCATCGCACTGCCATCGCTCACCGTCGCCTCGCAGTCGTAAGCCTCTCGTCGCCCATCGCAATTGCGTGTCGGCCCCTCGCAGTCGCACCACTCGCCATACCATTCCATGCCGTGACATCACGCCGTGACAGACTGCTTTCCGTACACTGCCAAACCAACATGCTCTAGTCCAGATCGTCCTGTCGTTCCCCCAGCTCACACTCTTCACCTCCATCTCTCCCACCCGCTTCCCATATCTTCCCCTCGTTTCCCTTACTCCAGCTTGACAGCCCTGACGCTCTCCGCCTGCGCGCGCCTCTCGCGCCTCTCCCTCGCATGCCCCGCGCTGCAGCGCCTCTCGCTCTCCCTCCTCCCCGCGCCCGCTCCGCCCTCCGCCGCTCCGCCAGCGCGCACGTGCTCCCAGACGCACGCGCACGCGAACGCGCAGATGAGCGGAGACCCCGCACACGCGGAGGCGGTGATAAGCCACGTGGCAAGCCTCGCGGCGCCTCTCGAGCGCCTGCACATCGCGTCGCCATACACCACCGACTCGGTACGCGCTTTCAGCTCTCGTTGCACGCGCCGCGTCGCATGCTCGCAGTGTGCGCTGCTGCGAGGGCGGTGCTGTCCTCTCCGCGCCTTCCGCCGCACTCCTCCTCTCATGCCGCCTGCTCCTGTCAACCCCCCACTACTCGTCCCCTCGCCCACTCGTCTCCTCGTCTCCTCGTATCCTCGTCTCCTCTCGTCTCATCCCTTCGTCACCTCCATTCTCATGCAATGTCGTCTGTGCGCAGATGGTGGCGGCGCTGGTGCGCGCACACGGGTCGACGCTCTGCGCGCTCTCCATCACACACTCGCTCTCGCTCACCGATGGTACCGCCACTCGCCCTCCCCTTCCCGTCGCGCCCTCTTCCTCTCTCGTTGCCTTGCATCGCGTCCTTCCGCGCCCACCCATTCCCACTCATGCGTCCCCCCCATACCCCCTGTGCGCCCGTCGCCCGTTTCCCCCCATGCGCGCGCATCAGAGGGCGTGGCGGACATCTGTCGCGCCTGTCCGCATCTGCAGCACCTCGACCTCTCCGCCTCTCCCAACGTCTCAGACGCCGCCCTCCACGCCATCAGGTGGGGCGCTGCTGTTGCTTTTGCTTTTGCTATGTGCACTCTCACCCCGCCTCTCTCTCTGTCCCTGCCCGTTCTCTCTCTCATGGACAACACACTCGTCAATCTCATTCCTATTCCCCTCTTTCTCTCCCCTCCTCTTCCCCCCACCAGCGCCTCGCTCTCTCACTCCCTCACACATCTCCTCCTCGCCGCCTGCCCTGGCATCACGCCACGTGGCGTGCAGGCATTGGTGCAGCGCCTGCCCAATCTGGAACTACTAGACGTGGGGCGGTCGTTGCTCCCCCGCGCGCCCTCGCCCTCCCCCACCCTTGCCAGCGCCGCCAGCACCACCAGCGCCATAGGCGCAGGGGGAGTGGCGGATGGGTGGAGGGGGAACAGCGGGGGACAGTGGGGGGACGTGGGGGGGGATTATCAGGGGGAGATGGGGATGGGGATGGAGGGGGGAATGGGGGGTGTGGGGGGCGAAGGCAACAATGGGTACACGGGGGGTGGGGATGGTGGTGGTATGGGGACGTCAAGCGCAACAGGCACGACAAGAGGAGTGGCGGCAGGGGGAGAGGGGCAGAGGTTAGAGCTTCGTAGCAGCAGCCTGAGGAAGCTCAGCCTGTGGGGGTGCTCGCTGTTGCAGGTGAGGGGTGATTGCTTGCTTTTTCAAGGTCCGATGCGGTTATAGAGGGTAGGCGCACCTGAGTGCTCCACATTCTGCTGCTCCCTGCTGTGGTCATGGAAATCCATGTTCTGTGCAATCAAATCATCAATTCATCATGCAGCCTGACCTGCCTCCCGCTGTGCTTTTTTTCCTCGTAATCCTCCCACTGACTCATACCTGTTCCTCTCCAGACGCTTGTGCTGGATTGCCCGCAGCTGGAGCACCTTAATGTAAACTCCTGCACTGCACTGCACCCATCTGCTTACGGCTGCCGCCTCAACTGCCCGTCGCTGCGGTTCATCCTGGCCGTTGGATGCCCTGTGTCGCCTCACACCCTGCTGCGCTCTGCGTACCTTGGGGACCAATCCCCATGCATGGGCGATGGCACGGGCGATGGTATGGGGGATGGCATGGGGGATGGCATGGGTGATGGCATGGGTGATGGCATGGGTGATGGCATGGCATGGGTGATGGTATGGTTGATGGTACTGAGGATGGTATAGGTGATGGTATGGGTGATGGCATAGGCGATGGGTATGGGGATGATATGGGCGATGGCATGGCTAATGGCATGGGTGATGGTATGGGGAATGGCATGGGGAATGGCATGGGCGTCCCTCCCAACGCTTGCTTGGGTGATGACATGGGGGTTGGCATAGGGAATGGCATGGGCAATTGTATGGGGAATGGCATGGCCGATAGCATGGGTCCATCTCAAAGCGGGTATGTGGGAGATGGCATGGGGAATGGCATGGATCCATCCCTTGGCTTATATGTGGGAGATGGCATGATGCATGCACAACCAAGTGCGTGGCAACCCCCTTCCCACACGCAGACGGGGAATGGTATGGTAAATGGCATGGGGAATGGCATGGTAAATGACATGGGTAATGGCATGGGTAATGGCAGCGGATACTGCAACACGGGTGCTGATGGCATGGTGGATGGCATGGCAGGGACTCCGTCCCACATGCACATGCAGATGCAACCACACATGCACCCACATGCACACATGCACATGGGGGGGCAAATGCAGCAGCAGGGGCAGGTGATGGTGTGGGAGTGAGGAGCTGGAGGGGCTACTTTCATGCTAGGTGGCTGGGGTTTCATTACTGAAGCACTGACAAACATAAATGGGTAGATAGAGTAATCAATGAAGCAGTCAATGGGTGGCACGCAAGAAGAATAAATAGGCTGGGTGTATTTTTGAAGTTGCTATACTGCATAGTGCAGGAAGGAATGCTTATATAGGGATAGACATTAGCTAGTCGTACCTAAGTGAAAGGTAGTTGCTTGCTGCCATCCATCTTTTAGTTTCTGGCAATATTGAAATTCCTTCAATATACCTATTGCATCTTGTCACTTGATTTGTGTGATTCAATTCAAAACATGTAGCCTGTGGCAACAGCAATGATTCAAAAAGCTTATGCTACACGTTCTCAGGTTATTGCACAGGAATGCAACACAACACAGCACCTGTGAAAGTTTACTGCATGTTTCCTAACGACAGCGTGATTCCCTCCTAGGTGGCGATAATGTATTCAGGACCGATCTGCCTCACTGTTCGTCCTCGTTCCTGCTCCTTCACGATGTCGTCCAATTTGGGATCCATACGAGAGCACGTTTCCAGCGTGGTCGCATTCGGTGCAGCAGTGTTTAGATCTGTACTAGGAGGATGCAGACAAGGGTCTAGATATCAGAATACTGTCAGAATGAACAAGGGTGTTTGGACTAGCAAGAGGGTTGGTTACAAGTATGAAACCCTAAACTTACTGTACCCCATAGTAACTACCCCACTGCAGCCTAAACAAACTGCAGTAGATACAACATTTGACACACCCCCATAGGCAAAGTGGGGGAGAACAAGTGGTCACAAGACCAGTCAAGAAAGGCAAAGCAAGCTCAGGGTGGATCACAAAGTCACCACACACTCTGAGCACAAGCAAAGGGCCACAAGACCAGTTCACATGCAGAGGTATATAAGCAACACAAACATTAAAGTGATCTCTACCTAGCAATGCAAGCATGCATGTATATATTTATATATAGATCACAGTACAAGCAAGGCCTACAGCAAGTGAGGAAAAGTGGGCACAAGCCCTAGCAAAGTGCAGAAACGCTGATGATCACCAGGCTGAAGAGCCTTGGTGAATATATCAGCAGTGTTGGCCCGAGTGGCCACGTGCCGCAGACGAAGCTGACCACGCTGCTGCAACTCTCGAGCCAGGAAGTAACGCAGAGCGATGTGCTTCGTTCTGTGCTCCAGTCTGTGCTCCTCACACAAGGCAATGGCGGCCTTGTTGTCGACGTACAGCACTGGAGGAGAACGAGGCTGCTCTCCCAAGTCAGTCAGTAGGTAGGTGAGCCAGCGTAACTCCTGTGCAGCCATAGCTGTGGTGTAGATCTCAGCCTCACAACTGGAGCTGAGAACTGAAGACGAGCGTGTAGAACGCCACGAAACTGAACCAGAGCCAAGACTGAAGGTGTAACCCTGTGACGACCGCTGCGTAGCCTGGTCGTCAACCCAAGAAGCGTCTGAGTGCCCAGTGAGGACAACTGGGCTCGTCCCTCCAAGCACTAGCCCCATGCCTGATGTGCTGCACAAGTAGCGCAGTACCCTCTTAGCAGCAGCCATGTGCTCAGGTCGGTGCCGACCAGGAGCCACGTAGCGAGCCAGGAGACCAAGAGGGTACGCGAGGTCAGGACGAGTGCAAGTCATCAGATACATGAGGCAGCCAACTAGCTCTAGGTAAGGACCACTCGGCTCTACGGACTCGTCCGAAGGTGGAGCTAAGAGCGAGTGACCTGTAGCCAGAGGAGTGGCCTGTGCTGAGGACCAGGTGAAGCCGAAGCGCTGAAGGACCTGCTGCACCATGTGTGACTGAGTCAAGGTGATGGTGCGGCGTGCTCTGTCCCGGGTGATCTGCAAGCCAAGGTAGCTGCGCAGCTCACCCAAGTCTGTGCACGTGTGTCTCTTCTGCAGCTCCGACTTCACGTGGGCGAGAGCCTCAGTGTCAGCAGTGGCAAAAACCAAGTCGTCGACATACACGAGGATGTAGAATGGCGGCAGTGAAGTGTCAGTGCGCAGAAACAGCGACGGGTCAGCAGTAGAAGGCGCGAACCCAAGAGCCGCAAGTGTAGTCCTCAGTGTGTCGTGCCACTCACGTGGCGCCTGGCGGAGACCGTAGACCGGCCGCCGGAGGCTCCACTGGGTACCAGGAGGGAACGACCCAGTGAAGCCCGGGGGGCGGCGCAGCCAGATCTCCTCGTGCAGGCTGCCCTGCAAGAAAGCTGTGCTAAAGTCAAGAGAGTGAAGCTCGTAGTCACGGTGAGCGGCAACGTGCAGCAGCACCCGAAGAGTGGTCATCTTCGGGGTGGGGGAGAAGGTCTGGAAGAAGTCTACTCCCTCTCGCTGACTGAAGCCTCGAGCAACGTAACGAGCCTTGAAGACGGGCGGAGAACCTGGCGGCCGCTTCACCCTGAAAATCCACATACCATCGACGATGTTCGCCCCAGGGGGGGGAACCTCGTCGACGTAAGTGCCAGTGGACTTCCAGGATGCCATCTCTGCGTCCATGGCTGTCTGCCACTGAGAGGAGTACGGACCCGCGATCGCCTCAGCATAAGAGCGCGGGGTCGGGATGTCTGGTGCATCCGGGTCTCCCTCAGGTGCAAGCAGCCTGGACACGAGATGAGGTATAGCAGCAGCAAAGCACTGGAACTCCTCCTGCCTGTCCTCAAGGACGTCCGTGCCAAGAGCACACTCACCCCCGACGGACGGAGGACAGACAGACTCAGACTCAGCAACAAGACTCGCGGCGTAGTCTAGACGACAGTGAGCAGCAAAGTCGACAAGCTCAGCAACTAAGGCAGACGCAGCAGCGGACTCAAAGGAAGGGTCAGTGACAACAGTGGCCAGGAGACGCGTGACAGTAGGGTGAGCAGCACGAACACGGTCAGACTCAGGGTCTGGAACGTCAGGCAGAGAAGACGCAGGAGGAGACGGCAGAGGAACACGCTGTGGAGCAGTGGACGGACGAAGTGCCATCTGGTGCGTGCCAGGGACAGGAGGAGGACGCGGACGCGGAACACGACGACTAGTGCGAGCAGTGCGAACGGGCGACGCAGGACGAGACGCAGGCTCACGACGCTCAGCAAGTCCTCCTGTCTGCTCAGTGTAAGGAGAAGGAGCAGGCAGCGGTGACCCAGGCTGTAACGGAAGACCAGTAGACGACGGGAGGGTAAGAACCTGACGAAGAACAGAGTCAGGCGGTGGCAGAGACGACGGAGACGGCGGAGCAAAGAACAGTCGTGGCTGCGCAGTGCCCCCAGCACCAGCAGCTCCAGCGCCTCCAGCAGCACCAGCGCCTCCAGCAGCTGCAGCGCCTCCAGCAGCTCCAGCACCTCCAGTAGCACCAGCGCCTCCAGCAGCACCAGTGCCCCCAGCGTCAGCTCCGACTCTTGCAGCACCACCAGCTCCAGCAGCACCAACTCTAGTACCCCCAGGAGCACCGTCAGCACCTGCACCTCCAGCTCCAGTCCCCGCAGAACCGCTAGCTCCAGTACCAGGAGCGCCTCCAGGAGCTCCAGCAGCACCTCCAGGCCCAGCAGCTCCAGCACCTCCAGCGCCAACCCCAGGGTCGGCAGCCACACCAGCACCAGTAGCTCCAGCGCCCTCAGCTCCAGCGCCAGCAGAACTCCCAACTCCCACAGCACCACTGCGGCGGCGGCAGTACCGAGAGTACCACTCACGCAGCTCCAAGGAAGAGAGAGCGCCTCCAGGCGCAGCACGGTCAGACGCAGCACCCCGAGGCTCAGGAACCCCAGGCACAGTACCCGCAGGCTCAGCACCCCCAGTCACAGTCCCTCCAGGCGCAGTACCCCCAGGCTCAGCACCCCCAGAGACAGCACCCCCAGGCTCAGCACCCCCAGTCTCCGCACCCCCAGGCTCAGCACCCCCAGTCTCGGTACCACCAGACCCAGCACCACCAGGCTCGGCACGCTCAGGCTCAGTACCTCGCGCAGGACCAGAGTCGACAGCTACCTCGACAGGCTCGACCGGGTCTACCTGGGAAACACCTGAGGGAGCAGGACCCTGGGGAGGCAGGGGGTCTACCAAAGCAGCACCTGGCGTGAGGAAGAGCGGCGGAGGGGGGAGCGGGGCAGTGCGGTAGGGGAAGAGACGGTAGAAGGGGACCGACTCGTCAAACGTGACGTCCTGAGAGGGGAAGACACGGCGCGAGGCAGGGTGGTAAAACTGCCAGCCAGACGCGTCAGGGACAAAGCCAAGGAAGACGCAGGGGAGGTACGGGAGGAGAGCTTGTCCGCGGACGCATCGCGGACAAAGGCACGAGATCCCCAGACTCGGAACACCGACGCATCGCCAACCTCTCCCGTCCAACGCAGTGTCGGCGAGGTGTCCGGATCGGAGACACCGGGCCAGAGGTTGAGCTGATGCGCGGCGTACCGGACCGCAAACGGCCACAGAAAATGGGGGGCAGCC